GGTGAGCCATGCTAGAAGATCAGGGATGGCCTCCGATCGCAGCAGCAGGCGCAGGGAGGTGGGGCAGCGGAAGGCCTTGGGTGCCCATGCCCCCAACACAAGCAGAACCATGAGCTTGCGCCCACACACGTACCAGTGGGGCGAGGTGAGCCATGCTAGAAGATCAGGGATGGCCTCCGATCGCAGCAGCAGGCGCAGGGAGGTGGGGCAGCGGAAGGCCTTGGGTGCCCATGCCCCCAACACAAGCAGAACCATGAGCTTGCGCCCACACACGTACCAGTGGGGCGAGGTGAGCCATGCTAGAAGATCAGGGATGGCCTCCGATCGCAGCAGCAGGCGCAGGGAGGTGGGGCAGCGGAAGGCCTTGGGTGCCCATGCCCCCAACACAAGCAGAACCATGAGCTTGCGCCCACACACGTACCAGTGGGGCGAGGTGAGCCATGCTAGAAGATCAGGGATGGCCTCCGATCGCAGCAGCAGGCGCAGGGAGGTGGGGCAGCGGAAGGCCTTGGGTGCCCATGCCCCCAACACAAGCAGAACCATGAGCTTGCGCCCACACACGTACCAGTGGGGCGAGGTGAGCCATGCTAGAAGATCAGGGATGGCCTCCGATCGCAGCAGCAGGCGCAGGGAGGTGGGGCAGCGGAAGGCCTTGGGTGCCCATGCCCCCAACACAAGCAGAACCATGAGCTTGCGCCCACACACGTACCAGTGGGGCGAGGTGAGCCATGCTAGAAGATCAGGGATGGCCTCCGATCGCAGAAGCAGGCGCAGGGAGGTGGGGCAGCGGAAGGCCTTGGGTGCCCATGCCCCCAACACAAGCAGCACCATGAGCTTGCGCCCACACACGTACCAGTGGGGCGAGGTGAGCCATGCTAGAAGATCAGGGATGGCCTCCGATCGCAGCAGCAGGCGCAGGGAGGTGGGGCAGCGGAAGGCCTTGGGTGCCCATGCCCCCAACACAAGCAGAACCATGAGCTTGCGCCCACACACGTACCAGTGGGGCGAGGTGAGCCATGCTAGAAGATCAGGGATGGCCTCCGATCGCAGCAGCAGGCGCAGGGAGGTGGGGCAGCGGAAGGCCTTGGGTGCCCATGCCCCCAACACAAGCAGAACCATGAGCTTGCGCCCACACACGTACCAGTGGGGCGAGGTGAGCCATGCTAGAAGATCAGGGATGGCCTCCGATCGCAGCAGCAGGCGCAGGGAGGTGGGGCGGCGGAAGGCCTTGGGTGCCCATGCCCCCAACACAAGCAGAACCATGAGCTTGCGCCCACACACGTACCAGTGGGGCGAGGTGAGCCATGCTAGAAGATCAGGGATGGCCTCCGATCGCAGCAGCAGGCGCAGGGAGGTGGGGCAGCGGAAGGCCTTGGGTGCCCATGCCCCCAACACAAGCAGAACCATGAGCTTGCGCCCACACACGTACCAGTGGGACGAGGTGAGCCATGCTAGAAGATCAGGGATGGCCTCCGATCGCAGCAGCAGGCGCAGGGAGGTGGGGCAGCGGAAGGCCTTGGGTGCCCATGCCCCCAACACAAGCAGAACCATGAGCTTGCGCCCACACACGTACCAGTGGGGCGAGGTGAGCCATGCTAGAAGATCAGGGATGGCCTCCGATCGCAGCAGCAGGCGCAGGGAGGTGGGGCAGCGGAAGGCCTTGGGTGCCCATGCCCCCAACACAAGCAGAACCATGAGCTTGCGCCCACACACGTACCAGTGGGGCGAGGTGAGCCATGCTAGAAGATCAGGGATGGCCTCCGATCGCAGAAGCAGGCGCAGGGAGGTGGGGCAGCGGAAGGCCTTGGGTGCCCATGCCCCCAACACAAGCAGCACCATGAGCTTGCGCCCACACACGTACCAGTGGGGCGAGGTGAGCCATGCTAGAAGATCAGGGATGGCCTCCGATCGCAGCAGCAGGCGCAGGGAGGTGGGGCAGCGGAAGGCCTTGGGTGCCCATGCCCCCAACACAAGCAGAACCATGAGCTTGCGCCCACACACGTACCAGTGGGGCGAGGTGAGCCATGCTAGAAGATCAGGGATGGCCTCCGATCGCAGCAGCAGGCGCAGGGAGGTGGGGCAGCGGAAGGCCTTGGGTGCCCATGCCCCCAACACAAGCAGAACCATGAGCTTGCGCCCACACACGTACCAGTGGGGCGAGGTGAGCCATGCTAGAAGATCAGGGATGGCCTCCGATCGCAGCAGCAGGCGCAGGGAGGTGGGGCAGCGGAAGGCCTTGGGTGCCCATGCCCCCAACACAAGCAGAACCATGAGCTTGCGCCCACACACGTACCAGTGGGGCGAGGTGAGCCATGCTAGAAGATCAGGGATGGCCTCCGATCGCAGCAGCAGGCGCAGGGAGGTGGGGCAGCGGAAGGCCTTGGGTGCCCATGCCCCCAACACAAGCAGAACCATGAGCTTGCGCCCACACACGTACCAGTGGGACGAGGTGAGCCATGCTAGAAGATCAGGGATGGCCTCCGATCGCAGCAGCAGGCGCAGGGAGGTGGGGCAGCGGAAGGCCTTGGGTGCCCATGCCCCCAACACAAGCAGAACCATGAGCTTGCGCCCACACACGTACCAGTGGGGCGAGGTGAGCCATGCTAGAAGATCAGGGATGGCCTCCGATCGCAGCAGCAGGCGCAGGGAGGTGGGGCAGCGGAAGGCCTTGGGTGCCCATGCCCCCAACACAAGCAGAACCATGAGCTTGCGCCCACACACGTACCAGTGGGGCGAGGTGAGCCATGCTAGAAGATCAGGGATGGCCTCCGATCGCAGAAGCAGGCGCAGGGAGGTGGGGCAGCGGAAGGCCTTGGGTGCCCATGCCCCCAACACAAGCAGCACCATGAGCTTGCGCCCACACACGTACCAGTGGGGCGAGGTGAGCCATGCTAGAAGATCAGGGATGGCCTCCGATCGCAGCAGCAGGCGCAGGGAGGTGGGGCAGCGGAAGGCCTTGGGTGCCCATGCCCCCAACACAAGCAGAACCATGAGCTTGCGCCCACACACGTACCAGTGGGGCGAGGTGAGCCATGCTAGAAGATCAGGGATGGCCTCCGATCGCAGCAGCAGGCGCAGGGAGGTGGGGCAGCGGAAGGCCTTGGGTGCCCATGCCCCCAACACAAGCAGAACCATGAGCTTGCGCCCACACACGTACCAGTGGGGCGAGGTGAGCCATGCTAGAAGATCAGGGATGGCCTCCGATCGCAGCAGCAGGCGCAGGGAGGTGGGGCAGCGGAAGGCCTTGGGTGCCCATGCCCCCAACACAAGCAGAACCATGAGCTTGCGCCCACACACGTACCAGTGGGGCGAGGTGAGCCATGCTAGAAGATCAGGGATGGCCTCCGATCGCAGCAGCAGGCGCAGGGAGGTGGGGCGGCGGAGGGCCTCGGAGCGCACGAGCAGAGCGAGGTGGCGCTGGAAGAGCAGCGTTAGCTCCGCCATGTTCATCCGCGCCTCCACGTAGCCCCCTTCTCCCCCCCCTCCGTTCGCTCCGTTCTCTCCGCCCTCTCCGCCCTCTCCGCCCTCTCTGCCCTCCCTGTAACCCTCCCCGCCTCCCTGCCCCTCCACGTACCCGCCTCCGTAACCCCCTTGCCCACCCTGCTCCCTCTGCTGATGCTGCCGTTGCTCTGCTCTCTCCTCTAAATCTGCCTCATCGTCCTCCTCATCCCCATCACACTCCTCCTCATCCTCACCCTCTTCCCCGTCTTCCCCCTCCTCCTCCTCCCCACGCCACCCATTCCTCTCCAGCTCCTCCCCGTCTTCCTCCCCCTCCCCATTCACCAGCACATCCGCTCCACTACCAGACAAACCCCGCCGCTCGAGCTCGCCGCCCGCGGCATTAGTTGCCGTCCAGCTGACGTGGTGGTCCAGCCTGGGCGGCCACTCCAGCAGCATTCTCTCCTCGTCCTCCTCATCTGGATCCCATCCCACCGTTCCCACTCCCATTTCCACCGCTCCCAAACCCCCCATCCCTCCCTCTCCCCCTCCCCCTCCCCCTCCCCCTCCTTCTCCTCCTCCTGCTCCTTCCCCTACACCTTTAGAAGGATCACCTTTAAACGGTTCACCTCTAAACGAATCACCTCTAATCGCCTCACCACCTCTATTCAGCTCAGGCTGCACCCACCGTTCTCGTCTTGATAGGCTGCGAGACCCAAATCGTGCCACACCGCGCCCAGGTGTACCTCCCCCAGGAGTGCCTCCCCCAGGTGTGCCGCGCCCAGGTGTACCTCCCCCAGGCGTGCTTCCACCAGGTGTACCCCTCCCAGGTGTACCCACCCCAGTTGCACCCGTCCCTGTCACATCCAACCTCCCTGATGCAGACAAAAACGCTGACATTGGTGATGCTCCACCTCCTCCTGCTCCTCGTCCTGCTGCTGCTGCTCTTTCTGCTGCCGCGCCTAAGTCTACCATCCGTGCCTCTCCCCCTTCTGCTGAGCTTGAAGCCATCACTCTTCTCGCCGAACCTAGCTCCGGCGTGCCGAGCCTCCTCGACACAGCCCTCGAGCCAGCTTCGGGAGTGCTGAGCCCCCGCGAGCCAGCCTCAGGTGTCCCAAGCCTCCTGGAGCCAGCCTCAGGAGTCCCGAGCCTCCGTGAACCAGCCTCGGGGGTGCCGAGCCTCCTAGAGCCAGCTTCGGAGGAGCTGAGCCTATTTGTGGGAGTGGAAGTGCTAGTAAGCCGGCTGCTATCCCCTACCAACCTGCCACTGAAAGCAGGCCCTGCAGCAGCAGCAGTAGGTCCCCCCAAAGGGCTATTATGGTGGTACCCACCAGCAATACCACCATCAGCAGCAGCAGCAGCATTACCAGCGCTGCCAATACCACCATCAGCAGCAGCACCAGCACCAGCAGCGGCAGCACCAGCGGTGGCACCAGCAGCAGCAGAGCCCCCTTCAAGCAGTCCCTCACTCCCACTACTCACAGGCATTCTCGCAACAGTCACCTCCCCCACTGCCGCTCCCAGCAGCGCCTGCGACAGCACGCCGTACATCTGGCTCTTACTTAAGTGCTTCATCCACTGTGCATCCCCGGGTCCCGCCAGCCGAATCCGCTCAAACCGGTCCCGCAGCCGAAGCAGCAGCCGCCGCCGCCGCCGCATCTCCGCCGTACCCACATGTTGAAACTCCCCGCCACCAGCAGCACCACCAGCACCAGCAGCGCCGTTTTCCAAGCCTGCCTCGTCCGAGAGGGTTTTGCGGCGGGCGGCGTGGTAGGCGGGGGAGGCGGAGGAGTAGTGGAAGAGGAAGGCGGAGAGCACGTGGGGACGGAACCAGCGGGCGATGTCGGAGGGATGCACGAGGTCGTCCACTGAGAGGGCTGCTAGGTGCTTGCGTGAGCGGAGGGATTTCCGAGCCTTGTCTGTCTGCCACATGGAATTCATCTCCCGGCAATTGCAGCGGGTGATGTACCTGTTGGGGGGGACGAAAAGCAGGGAGGACGAGAAGAGGAAGGGGAAGAGGGGGAAGGGTCAGAGAAATGCACGAGGTCGTCCACTGACAGCGCTGCCAGGTGCTTGCGCGAACGGAGAGACTTTTGGGCTTTGTCGGTCGGCCACAAGCTGTTCAGCTCATGGCAGTTGCAGCGCGTGATGTGCCTGCTGGAGTGGGGGAGGGAAAGGGGAGTTGTAGTGGAGGGAAACGGGAAAGGGTCGATGAGGAGTGGGGAGTGGGGGGTAAGTGAAGGGACTTGCAGCCTTGTCGGTCTGTTTCATGGTGTCGTGCTCATGGCAGTTGCAGTGCATGACGTACCTGTTGGGGAGGCGGGAGAGGGTAGAAAAGCGAAGATTGGGAAGGGGGTGGGAGAAGAGTCAAAGGAATTCCTGGCCTTGTCAGTCTTTCGGAAACGTTTTGAGACGTGTCAAAACTAGATTCCTGGCCTTGTCAGTCTTTCGGAAACGTTTTGAGACGTGTCAAAACTAGATTCCTGGCCTTGTCAGTCTTTCGGAAACGTTTTGAGACGTGTCAAAACTAGATTCCTGGCCTTGTCAGTCTTTCGGAAACGTTTTGAGACGTGTCAAAACTAGATTCCTGGCCTTGTCAGTCTTTCGGAAACGTTTTGAGACGTGTCAAAACTAGATTCCTGGCCTTGTCAGTCTTTCGGAAACGTTTTGAGACGTGTCAAAACTAGATTCCTGGCCTTGTCAGTCTTTCGGAAACGTTTTGAGACGTGTCAAAACTAGATTCCTGGCCTTGTCAGTCTTTCGGAAACGTTTTGAGACGTGTCAAAACTAGATTCCTGGCCTTGTCAGTCTTTCGGAAACGTTTTGAGACGTGTCAAAACTAGATTCCTGGCCTTGTCAGTCTTTCGGAAACGTTTTGAGACGTGTCAAAACTAGATTCCTGGCCTTGTCAGTCTTTCGGAAACGTTTTGAGACGTGTCAAAACTAGATTCCTGGCCTTGTCAGTCTTTCGGAAACGTTTTGAGACGTGTCAAAACTAGATTCCTGGCCTTGTCAGTCTTTCGGAAACGTTTTGAGACGTGTCAAAACTAGATTCCTGGCCTTGTCAGTCTTTCGGAAACGTTTTGAGACGTGTCAAAACTAGATTCCTGGCCTTGTCAGTCTTTCGGAAACGTTTTGAGACGTGTCAAAACTAGATTCCTGGCCTTGTCAGTCTTTCGGAAACGTTTTGAGACGTGTCAAAACTAGATTCCTGGCCTTGTCAGTCTTTCGGAAACGTTTTGAGACGTCTCAAAACTAGATTCCTGGCCTTGTCAGTCTTTCGGAAACGTAATAAAAGAAGAGGATGAGGAGCGCAGGCAGGAAGACTTGCCATACCATACCAGGGACAGGGCCTCAAGGAAAAAGGCTTACCAGTTGACGAGCTCGTAGCAGAGAATGAGCAGCGTGGGCAGGAAGACGAGGGCGAAGGAGAAGGCGAAGAGGATGTTGGCGCCAGTGGTGATGCCGATGTAGTTAAAGCCCGTGAGCGCCACGGTGAAGAGAAGCTCTGCGAGCGCGAGCAGCGAGTTGAGCACATCGTGCGAGAAGGCTGCAAAGGGGGATGCTCCGTACTGCAGGCCGATGCGAATGGCCTGGAGGGGTAGGGTCACTGATACCTGAATGGGGGAGAGCGGGTGGGGGGGGAGACGGGGGGAGGGGGTGTTGGTAAGAGGAGTGAGGAAGAGGGGAGAGGGATGTGCCTGCTGCAGGCAGGCTCGCACTCCCAGAAGCTAAAGCCCGTGAGCGCCACGGTGAAGAGCAGCTCTGCGAGTGCGAGCAGCGAGTTGAGCACGTCGTGCGAGAAGGCTGCAAAGGGGGATGCTCTGTACCCCAGGCCGATGCGAATGGCCTGGAGAGGGAGGGTCACTGATTCCTGATGGGGGGAGCGGGGGCGGGAGGGTGGGGAGGTTGGCAGCGAGTTGAGCACGTCATGAGAGAAGATGCGCCGTCCAGCAGGCCGATGTGAATGGCCTGGAGAGAGAGGGTCACCGATACCTGATGGGGAGAGGGATGTGGGGGAAGGGAGCGGGGGAGGAGGAGGTTTGGCAAGAGGTGAGAGGGTTGTGCGTACAGCAGGCAGGCTGTTTCTTAGGTGCCTGCGAGGTTGAATCTCGTGAGGAGGGCGAGGGTGAAGAGCAGGTTTGCGAGCGCGAGCAGCAGCTGGGGGGTGTTGAAAAGCGGGAAAAGGAATCATATTAGGAAAATGATAGGTTTAAATCAAATTTTGAAAAACAAAAGGGTCGAATCCGTACCTGCGTCTGGGGTGACTGCACGCCAAAGACAGCGATGGAGACGAGGATGATGCGACGCGCGTAGCAGGTGAGGTGCCACCAGAAGTAGTCGTACTCGTAGCTGTGCCATGCACCACACATGCCATGCCATGCCATGCAGCACACACAGGGTGGAGGAGGGGAAGAGCAGGTAAACAAATAATACATATCATGAGGTGCCACCAGAAGTAGTCGTACTCGTACCTGTTCCACGCACCATGCAGGACAAATGCCATGCACACACATGCCATGGACACACATGCCATGCACCACATGCACAACCATGCCATGCCATGCATGCAGCCCACATGTTGGGGAAAGGAGCGCATGCCATGCAATGCAGCACGAATCATGAGGTGCCATTCACGGTACTCGTACCTATGCAGCACAAATCATGAGGTGCCATTCACGGTACTCGTACCTATGCAGCACAAATCATGAAGTGCCATTTACGGTACTCGTACCTATGCAGCACAAATCATGAGGTGCCATTCACGGTACTCGTACCTATGCAGCACAAATCATGAGGTGCCATTTACGGTACTCGTACCTATGCAGCACAAATCATGAGGTGCCATTTACGGTACTCGTACCTATGCAGCACAAATCATGAGGTGCCATTTACGGTACTCGTACCTATGCAGCACAAATCATGAGGTGCCATTCACGGTACTCGTACCTATGCAGCACAAATCATGAGGTGCCATTTACGGTACTCGTACCTATGCAGCACGCAGCCACATCTTCGGAAAGACATGTGATGCGTTTGTAAAAGTGTGTGCACGCACGCATGCATGTGTGTGTGTGTGTGTGTGTGTGTGCACATGTGAGTGTGTGCCTGCACGCATGTGTGAAAGAAACCAACTCATGCATACGACCAACCACGAAACCACTCACCGGCTGACCATCCATCCCCATCGCATCTTGTACGTGTGACTCGCCAGCAGGCCCTTGGACTTCCCCAGCCACAGCACCAGCGCGTAGCACACCGGAGCTCCCGCCACATACACCACCGCAATCACCACCGACAGCGCAAACACCACCGTATGCGTCTCGGAAAACCACCCGATATACGGCGCAGCACCCATCACATCCGCGCCATACCAGTGCCGGTAAAATGCCTGGAAACACCGGAAGGTTACAGCCGCGTAGCTCAGATCGAGCCAGTTGGTGACTCCGTGAATGAGAGTGTTCTCGTACTTGTCGAACATTTCGCGTTTGGTTGTCACGTGCCCGCCCAAGTCGTCTGCTCGAGAGCCGATGCCGCTTGGGGCTCGCGAGAAACTGGTGCCGTTGGTATCGGTGCGGAGAGAGGGAGCAGACGCAGCAGCAGAAGCAGCGGAGGCGGCGGCAGAAGGGGTGAAGCTGGTGGTGCTGGTGATGGGGTGGTTCTTGGGGTTGCCGTAGATTTGTGTGATGGTGTGGGAGTAGAGGCGGTGTGTGAGGTAGAGGCAGGCGTAAACGAGGACGCCTAAAACGGGGATGACCATGGTGACTGCCCACTGCTGCACGAATGAGTAGGTGACTGTGCAACCTGGCCCAATCACGTCCTGAGAATTGGGGGGGAAATATGGACAGATGGATGAGGAGTGATCATGGAAACAGAGTTTGGTGTGGGTACAGGGATGACCATGGTGACAGCCCACTGCTGCACGAATGAGTAGGTGACTGTGCAGCCGGGCCCAATCACGTCCTGAGGATTGGGTGGGGAAAGGGGAGGAAAGGGTGAGAGAAGCAGATGTTTGGAATGATTGAGGGGATGAAGACCATAGTGATTCCCTCAAGGAGTAGGTGACTGAGCAGCCTGGCCCGATCACGTCCTGAGGTGAGGATGGGAGTGGAGGAAAGGAGAGGAAGGAAGAGGAGAATGTGAGCAGATGTGGAATGATAGTGGGGATGACCATGGTGACTGCTCACTGGTGCACCAAGGAGTAAGATGTGCAGCCTGGCCCGATCACGTCCTGAGGTGAGGATGGGAGTGGAGGAAAGGAGAAGAAGGAAGAGGAGAATGTGAGCAGATGTGGAATGATAGTGGGGATGACCATGGTGACTGCTCACTGGTGCACCAAGGAGTAAGATGTGCAGCCTGGCCCGATCACGATCTGCAGATGGGGGAACGGCATTTGGATGAGCCGTACAAAGACAAAAGCTGGGTTGAGAGCGGTGCTTACCGGTACGAAGAGTGCGATCTGGAAGTACTGAATAATGGTGTTCACCCAGGAGGGCAGCGGGAGGTTGTACGACCCGATAAACGTCAGCATCTGCAGCTCTATAGCGAGTATAGCAATGGTGTGAAACGAGTCCGACAAAACCCCCATGGCCACCCAGGCCAGCACGATGAGCAGGAGCAGCAGCGGGAAGAGGCGCTGGAAGGTGGGCGAGCACTGGTAGCAAAACTTGAGCACTGAGTAGTAGCCGGGCGCGCAGCTGGAGCAGAGCCGATTCTCGTTGTACCCCTGCTTGCATTGCTGCTGCTCCAGAGTTGCATTTGCTGCCGACTGCTGCTGCTGCTGCGGCTGTTGGGTAGTAATGACAGTGGGATGAGAGGAGGAGGAAGGGTAGAGCAGCCCTGCACATCCATCTAACACGTCGCAGGCATACACGGCAGGGATGCCAGAGCTGATACTGTTGAAGTCAAACCAGAACCCCTCCTCTACAGTCATATTCCCTTTCTCGCATGTCACTGCCAGAGTATCTTTCAGTACATCCCGAGTCGTCGGGCAGGGTAAACAATCCAAAAGGGAAGATGTGCCCAGAAAAAAACTAAAGCTGCCCGGCGGGCAGAACTCCGCGCCCCGCCCGGACCCACACCAGCTCCCGATTGGACAGACCTCGCAGGTCATCCCCGGGCGGGTGTAAAACTGCCCGGGCGGGCAGAAGACGATCTCGACCGTCCGTGCGATCGGCGGAAACGCATCCAACGACGAGGAAACAGACAGCGTAAGCGAGAGATTCCCGGATTCAGGCGGCTCGACGATGGAAACGGGGGGGATGGTGGCGCGGCCGTTGACTGCAATGGCCTGCAGGAGACCGCTGATGGATGGCGTGGGGAGGATGGAGGCTTTGGCTCGGAAGTCGTTGACTGGGATGAGGCCTGCTGCGTCCAGCACTGTGACGTGCAGCCCTGTGACTGGGTTGGCCCTGTCCCCCTTCACCTGGAACACTGTGCCCGTGGTGGTGGCGCCTGCTGCTGAGTCGCTCTGCCCTGCCCACCTGGTGGGGTGGAAAGGGGGGAGGGAGGGGGAACGGAGGAACAGGGAGGTGGACAAGGCATAAGGAAGGGGGCGGGACGGAGAGAGGGAGCGGGGGGGAGGACGGAGGCCTTGGCTCGGAAGTCGTTGACTGGGATGAGGCCTGCTGCGTCCAGCACTGTGACGTGCAGCCCTGTGACTGGGTTGGCCCTGTCCCCCTTCACCTGGAACACTGTGCCCGTGGTGGTGGCGCCTGCTGCTGAGTCGCTCTGCCCTGCCCACCTGGTGGGGTGGAAAGGGGGGAGGGAGGGGGAACGGAGGAACAGGGAGGTGGACAAGGCATAAGGAAGGGGGCGGGACGGAGAGAGGGAGCGGGGGGGAGGACGGAGGCCTTGGCTCGGAAGTCGTTGACTGGGATGAGGCCTGCTGCGTCCAGCACTGTGACGTGCAGCCCTGTGACTGGGTTGGCCCGATCGCCCTTCACCTGGAACACTGTGGTGGAGTTTGCAGGTGAGTCGCTCTGGCCTGCTAACCTGTGGGTAAGGGGAAGGTAGTGGTAACAGGGAAGGGGGAGAGAGGGGTTGATTGAGAAGGGGAAGGAAGAGGGGGCTCCGTGAAGCACAGTGACATGCAGCCCTGTCACTGGATTGGTGGCCCGATCGCCCTTCCCAGGAATGGACTGGTGCTTTCAGCTGAGTCGCTCCGCCACTTGGGGGGGGGGGGAGGGGAAGAGGGTTTGGGGTTGGTGAAGAGGGTTTGGGGTGGTAACTAACAGGGGAGGGGGGAAGAGCGGTTGAATGAGACGGGGAAGGAACAGGGAGGTTGAGTGAGAGTGAGTGAGGGCGTGAGGATGCCCAAGACTCACTGAAGACGGAATGAGGCAGGGAGAGTGCCGATGGTGTCCTGCTTATCCTTGCTCTCACATGCTTGCTTCTCATGCACGTCAACCGGAGGACGTTTCCATATCATCAATTGGTTTTGCAACGTCTCAAACCCAATTGAGCCCTTCTTTTTGGGATGCCTCAAAACAGATTAAAACTCACTGGAGGCGGAAGGAGGAAGGGAGAGTGCCGATGGTGTCTTGCTTGTCCATGATTTCCTCGATGATAAGATAATCCTTTGTAGACGTCTCAAGCCTTTTTCATTAGTTTTTTAGACGTCTCAAAACAGATTAAAACTCACTGGAGGCGGAAGGAGGCAGGGAGCGTGCCGATGGTGTCCTGCTTGTCCATGCTCTCACACGCCACGCACGTCGACCGCATGGCAGGCAGGAACGTCGCATCAAGAAACGCCGACCCAAGCCCGCCTGCTGCCATCGCAATCCCCCCCGCCCCTCCCCCTCCTGCACCCACCCCACTTCCCCCAGCACCACTGCCACCACCAGCGCCACTAGCACTGCCACCGCTGGCAAGAGCCGGGATGCTGCCGTTACCAGTGACAGTGTTGCGGTAGAATGACAGCCCAGACACGTTCAGAGGCAGCAGCCCGCCACTCAGAGTCACACCGCCACCACCGCTGCCACTGCCGCTGCTGCCGCTGCCGCTGCTGTTGGTGATGGTGTTGGTGTTGCCATTACCGTTGGCGCTAGTGCTGGCACTACCAGCAGTGGCATTGGCAGCAGCACCAAGGTTACTTCCCGCCTGTAGCAACCCTGCAATATCAGACAACATAACCACCGCCCCCACCGCTGCCTTGCTAAACCCCATTCCCCCCGTTCCCCCACTTCCCCCACTTCCCCCACTTCCCCCAGCTCCCCCTCTTTCCTCCCCCCCACCCGCTCCTCCTCCCGAACCTCCCCCCATGCCTCCCCGATCCAGGTACACAGCCGATCCGTCCGAGCCAGCCTCGTTGATTCGGAAAGTGCAGTCTTGCAGGTCCCCGTGCGCATAGTCGAGCACTAGGATCGCGCCACCTGTCCCCGTTGCTGCCCGGTTGGACTCGAAAATCGAATCGGAGATCTGCAGGGACGTGTTGCCGGCCACAAAGATTGCCCCGCCTGCTTCTTGTGCTTGGTTGTTTGAAAACAAGGGTGCTTGTGGTGTGGCTGCTGGGTCAGTAGCAGCAGATACTGTAGCAAATGCAGCTGTGAATGTAGCACTCTCATCATAACCGGCAGCAGCAGTAGAAGCCACAGCAGCAGCATTGCCATCAGCAGCACCAGCAGCGCCACCAGCAGCGGCATAAGCAGCAGCAACAGCAGCATCATCAACCCCCGAGCTGACACTCAGCAAGCTCTCCGCATCACAGAAGATCGCACCACCTCTATGCCCCGTGTTCCCCTCAAACCCCACTCCACCGCCCACCACCACTACCGTCGAATCCGTGGCAAAAATCGCCCCTCCATCCCCCGCGTCCATCGTGCTCCCCCCCGCATTCCCCCGAAAGAGAACCGATCCGTAGAACGACCCCACTGCCTGCCCCTGCAGCACCACCGCATGCTGCGAGTTCCCTTCAAACACTGCGGGCGTTTTGCTGCCCACCCGCACAGCGACCAGCAGCCTGACTCCCCCTTCGGCGAGAATGGCCCCGCCGTGTGCGGCAGTGTTGGCGCGCAGGGAGGAGGCGAGCAGTGAGAGGCGCGCGTTCTGAATGCAGTAGAGCGCCCCGCCCTGGATGGTGGCTGTGTTGTGTGAAATGACAGACGAGGAGATGTGCACCTGGTGTGGGGATATGGGCATGGGCATGTGAAGAACAGGGAAATTAGAGGTGAGGCACCCTCGCTGAAAGCTGTAGGGTGCCTCCTTCCCGCCCCCACAGCGACCAGCAGGCGGACCCCCCCTTCGGCGAGAATGGCCCCGCCGCGTGCCGCTGTGTTGGCGCGGAGAGAGGAGGCGAGCAGCGAGAGGCGCGCGTTCTGAATGCAGTAGAGCGCCCCGCCCTGGATGGGGGCTGTGTTGCGGGAAATAACCGAGGAGGAGATGAGCACCTGATGTGAGAAAGTGGGAGAGATGGGCATGGGAAGGGGGGGTTGGCAGGGGAGTTGTTGTGGACAGTGAGAACGAGAGGTGAGGCACGATACAAGTAGTCGTTTGGACCCACACTCCCCTTTCCCCCCACCGCCACGAGCGGCAGTGTTGGCGCGCAGGGAGGAGGCGAGCAGCGAGAGGTGCGCTTTCTGAATGCAGTAGAGGGAAATGGATGCAGTAGAGCGCTCCGCCCTGGATGGTGGCTGTGTTGCGTGCTATGACTGACGAGGAGATGTGCACCTGGTGGGGTGGGGTGGGGGGGGGGGGGGGGGGGGGGGGGGGTGGGGGGGGGGACGGGCATGAGCATGGGCGAGGGCGAAGGAAGCCACAGGCGCGAGGGAGCAAGGAGGGAAGCAGGTCGGTAAGGGCTGCACTGCACTGCACTGCACTGCACTGCACTGCACTGCACTGCACTGCACTGCACTGCTCTGCACTGCACTGCACTGCTCTGCACTGCATTGCACTGCACTGCACTGCACTGCTCTGCACTGCACTGCACTGCACTGCACTGCACTGCACTGCACTGCACTGCACTGCTCTGCACTGCACTGCACTGCACTGCTCTGCTCTGCACTGCACTGCACTGCTCTGCACTGCATTGCACTGCACTGCACTGCACTGCACTGCTCTGCACTGCACTGCACTGCACTGCACTGCACTGCACTGCACTGCTCTGCACTGCAATGCACTGCACTGCTCTGCTCTGCACTGCACTGCACTGCTCTGCACTGCACTGCACTGCACTGCACTGCACTGCACTGCACTGCACTGCACTGCACGTACCTGCGAGTCCATCTCGGACCAGAGCATGCTGCCATCCATGGCCGAGTTGTTGAAGAACTCAGATGGCCCTTAATGCCGTGTGGAGTGCGCAACATGTGCTAAGGGGTCAAACGAGATGGAGGAAAGGTGGAAGGAGAGCCGCAGTGCACACACACCTGCGAGTCCATCTCGGACCAGAGCATGCCGCCATCCATGGCCGAGTTGTTGAAGAAATGGGAATCCGAGATGGTCAAGCAGGTCTGCCCCGTGGCCTGGATGGCGCCGCCCCCTGAGGTCGGTGCCGTTGCAAGCAACAAGTACCAAGGAGACAATCAGACAAGGGAACAAGCATGAACCACAATTCACACACCTGCGAGTCCATCTCGGACCAGAGCATGCCGCCATCCATGGCCGAGTTGTTGAAGAAATGAGAATCCGAGATGGTCAAGCGGGTCTCTCCCGTGGCTTGGATGGCACCGCCCTTGTTGCCGCCCTGGTTGGATGTGACGTTGCTGGATGTGATTGTAACGGAGGCCAGCTCGCTCATGGAGATGCACCCTCCCCCGGATGGCGCGCTGAAGGGGAGGAGAGGAGGGAGGAGAGGGACGAAAGGGAAAATGGGCAAAAGCAGAAGGGAGAGAGAAAGGAAACAGAGGTAGCGCGTTGTGAAAATCCTTACTGCAGAAACGTCTATTTCTTTCTTTCTTCTCTTTTTAACATTTCTTCTCTCTTGCTGTTCTGCTTCATATCAATGTCCCTACTTGCTTCATATCAATGTCCCTACATGCTTCATCTGCAACTCACCTGTTCCCAGTGCACTCAGACCGAGTCATCTGCAGCTGTGCAAATTCCTCCAGCATCACACCGCCTCCGTTGCTGGCCTCTCCTCCCTCCAGGCGGCACCCCATCAGTGCTGCGTGCGCCGCCATGCCCAGATGCAGCGCTGCTCCCCCCAGCGTGGCATTGTTGCCCTCAAAGGTCACGTTGGAGAAGTGTGCTGTGGGGATGCTGCTGCTGCTGCTGCCTCTGCTGCCGGTAGTGGTGGTGTTGTTGTCGTTGGGAGGAGAAGTTGGGTGCGAAACTGCCGAGGTAGGGGAGGGAGAGAAGAGAGGCAGGGAGAGATAGAGGGAAGGAGATGCGTGAGAGAGAAAGGGAAAAGGAAAAGAATGGCCGATGGCACGTGGCATGCCGTTCAACGGTTTAACTATGTTGAGTTTACTTTTGAGAATTCTCAACATAGTAAACTAGCAAACTCAACATAGAAAAACAAAAGAATGACCGATGGCACGTGGCATGCCGTTCAACGGTTTAACTCCAACCCACCTGCCACAGCACCGCGCTTCACAACAGCATGGTTGCGGTGGAAGGTGGTGTGGGCGAGGGTGACCGCAACATTACAACATTCCCCTTCCAGTCAACCCACCCCTTTCCAATCTAACCAACCCTTTCCAATCAACCCACCTGCAACTGCAATGGCACCGCCCTTTACGAGAGCATGGTTGTGGTGGAAGGTGGCGTGGGCAACAGTGACAGTTACACTCCAACATTTCCCTTTCAACCAACCCACCTGCAACAGCACCGCCCTTCACAAGAGCCTGGTTGCTTTGGAAGGTGGTGTGGGCGAGGGTGAGGCAGGCAACAGCATTCCAACATCCCTCTTAAATCAACCCACCCCCTTCCAATCAACCCACCTGCAACGGCACCGCCCTTCACGAGAGCATGGTTGTTGTGGAAGGTGGTGTGGGCGAGGGTGAGGCGAGCGGAGGCAGCGGAGATGGCTCCCCCCTTGGATGCCGGTGCTGTGTTGCCCTCAAAGCGACTCCCCTCCACCTCCAGTGCTCCCTCCGTGCCCTGTTGCACGGGCAGGGGGAGAGGGGATAGGAGAGAGGAGAGGAGAGAAGGAAGAAGAGAGAACGAGAAGGGAGAGAGCAGATATGAAAGTGGGGAGAGGAGAGAGGGGAGCATGGTTGCGGTGGAAGGTGGTGTGGGCGAGGTTGAGGCGAGCGGCGGCAGCGGAGATGGCTCCCCCCTTGGATGCCGGTGCTGTGTTGCCCTCAAAGCGACTCCCCTCCACCTCCAGTGCTCCCTCCGTGCCCTGTTGCACGGGCGAGGGGAGAAGGGAGGAGCGGGGAGAGGGAAGCATGCGGGAAGTGAAGAGGGCGGGTCAAGGCGCGTACGGCACTGTCACAGACACCTCACTTTCACAGACCCCGAGACAGGTCGTGTCGTCGTGTGACCACCCCGATTGACTCGGTTGACTCACATCGAGCACGAGAATCGCGCCAACTTTCCCCACCAGGTTCAACATCTTAGATGGGCAGTGTTGTTGCGAAACACACCGACCCGCGCTTTTTGAGGCGCCTAAAAAATACCCGCGATGGCAGTGTTGTTGCGAGCTGGTTTTTGAGAATTCTCAAAAACCAAATCCCGCAATGGCAGTGTTGTTGCGAAACACCGACCCGCGCTGCTGCTGGTCGCACCACCGGACCCAGCAACCCCCCATCCCCATTGACTCGTTTGACTCGTTCGTTTGGCTAGTGGATTTTACTCGTTGACTCGATTGACTCGGTTAACTCACGTCCATCACGAAGATTGCCCTGCCCTCCCTGCAAGATGGCGGTGTTGTTGCGAAACACTGACCCGCGCACCACCGTTGGCAGCACAGCAGCCCCTCTCTAATTGACTCGTTTGACCTGTGACACGCGTGCATTCGACTCGGTTGACTCGGTTGCCTCGTTTGACTCACATCCAGCACAACAATCGCACCGCCCTCCCCAGAGATGGCTGTGTTGTTGCGAAACACGGACCCCCCCAACCCAACCAATGTGCCCCGAACACTTGTCCACATTGACTCGTTTGACTCTTATGTTTCACTCAGTTGACTAGGTCAACTCACATCGAGCACAACGATCGCGGCCCCCTCCCCAGAGGCAGCGGTGTTGTTGCGAAACACACACCCGCGCACCACCGTGGGCAGCAGTCCTGCACGCATTGACTCGTTTGACTCGGTTGACCTACCATGTGAGACTCTAAGCCTGATGAAATGACTCGTTTGTCTCGGTTGACTCGGTTGACTCACCTCGAGCACAACGATCGCGCCGCCCTCGCCAGAGATGGCGGTGTTGTTGCGAAACACACACCCGCGCACCACCGTGCCCATCAGCCCTGCTGTGGCGACCGCCCCCCCATCCTGCATCACGGTGTTGTGCGCGAAGAGAGAATCCTCTATGCTGGTGCTCATGGTGGCGTAGTCTGGAGGGGAGGGGACGCAGTGGGGAGGTGGGACGGGTGCATGGGAGCATGGGAGAAGAGAGAAGAGAGAAGAGTGAGGCTGAGGCAATCGCTCCCCCATCCTGCAGCACGGTGTTGTGTGCAAAGAGACAGCCCTCTATGGTGGTGCTCATGGTGGCGTAGTCTGGAGGGGAAGGGGGGTGGAAAGGTTGATGGGAGAGGAGTGCAAAGGAAGGGTGAAGGGAGAGGGGATATGGTGACAGCATTGAAGACAAAGCTAAGTATTGCAAGCAAACACATGTCTCCACCCTCACACTGCCCACCCTTACACTCACCCCCACCCTCACATCACACACTCCCCTCACAACACCCACCCTCACATCACACACCCTTCTCACAACCCCCACCCTCACAACACCCCACGCTCATACCCCCCATATACTCACACGCGCCTCCATATCGGAACTGTGCCTCGTTCCACACATGCCGCGACCTCCTCACTGTCACATGGCCCTCAAAGTACCCCACCGCTCCGAAATCCGCCACATTCCTCTCAAACGCACACTCCTCCATCAGCAGCGGAATCACCACATCCCGCCTCGTCCACTGCTGATTAATCACCCCTCCCTGGCTCAGCGTCCCGTACAAATGCCCGTACGCAATATTCTCCCGAAAAGTCGAGTTAAAAATCTCCATTTCCGTATCCATGATAGCCATTGCCCCGCCGAAACCAACCATGGTGCTGTTCACCCAGTTTTTCTCCATCAGAGTTCCCCGGATGGTGATGTTTCCGCCGCGGGACGACACCGCTCCCCCGCCACCGCCAGTATTATCGTACGCGGAGCACAAGCGGAAAGTGGAGGAGTCTATAGTGAGGTTTCCGGGGTCGAGAGCGTCGAGACCGCCGCCGTCCATAACCGCGAGGCAGCGGGAGAAGGTGCAGTTGTGTATGGTGAAAGAGGTAGTAGCGTTGAGTGCAACCCCGCCGCCGTTCACCTTGCTGTAAATATCCCCTTCTTTGGACACATCCGCGTTGCACCGGAGGAAGGAGGAGGAGGAGATGGAGACGAGTGGGGAGGAATCATCCGAGAAGCATCCTCCCCGCATGGCCCGCGAGTCGCGGAACTCGCAGCTCGTTACAGTCATGTTGGAGAGAGAAGACGAGACCGCGCCGCCCAGGTTCTGCGCGAAGCAGCCCGAGAAGCGGACAGCTGTCAGCGCGGCGTTGGAGGAGACGATGGCGAAGCCGCCGCCATTGGTGGACGAGGAGGAGCAGTCGCGAACGGACGAATCAGTGACCGCCACGTGGGCGACGTTGTACAGGGCAACCGCTCCCCCTCCTTTCCCAATGGTTTCAGCTGCACCAGCAGCAGCAGCACCACCACCGGCACCAGCCGCACCACTGGCGCCAGCAGCACCAACAGAGGCAGTGAGGCCGCCAAGAGCCTTACAGCCTTCAAAGCGAGAGCCAGAGATGGTCACGTTGGGAGAAGAAGCAGCGAAGATTGCCCCACCACCGTCAGCAGCAGTGCAGTTGAGAAAAGAGGAGTTTGTAACCTCCACTGCCTGACCCTGTACTACCAGACAGCCCCCGCTGCCAGCACCACCACCAGAGCCAGCGCTGCTGGTGGTGGTGGTATCGCTGGTGATTTCGGCTCTGCCATTGGCCACTACCACTCCCCGCAACACCAGCTTTGCCTGCTCCTCACTGCACATGCTCCCGCCCCCTGCTCCTGTGCTGGAAGCTGCACACGTGGCAGTTAAACACGACCTACTGCTGCTGCTGCTGCTGCTGCCCTTGATGCTCTCACAGCTGATCACGGGAGGGGCGGAGGTGCCGCCAGTAGCAGGGGCAGCAGTGATGGTGAGGGGAATGCCCCCGAGTTGCAGCCCTTGTAGAGGGATAGAGTGAGTGCCTGGGAACAGGAAGATGGTGCCGCCTGTGGGGGGGATGCTGGTGGGGATGGGGAGGGGAAGGGGATGGGAAGGGGATGGGAGAAGTGAGACAGCAGCGATGGTGAGGGGACGACCCCCAAGTTGCAGGGCGAGGGGAGGGACGGAGTGAGTGCCTGGGGACAGAAGGATGGTGGCACCTGAGGGGGGGATGCTGGTGGGGGTAGGAGGGAAGAGAAGGGAGAGTGGAGGGGTGAAAGGTCGACGTGACGGGGACGGGGAATTTGGAGTGAGTGTGGGGGAAAGCGAGAGTGGTGTAGTTGTGAGTAAAGGGGGGCAATGAAGGGAGTCAAAAGGGGCGTGACTGGAGAAAAGGCAGCAAGAAAAAAGATAGGGACGGAGGGAAGGAGGGCAAAGGGAGGGAGGGGCAGAGGGAGGGAAGGAGGAGTTAGGGAAGCAGGGAAGCAAGGGAGAAAGGAGGGAGCGGAGACTTGGGGATAGAGAGAGGGGACTTACACTGTAAGAGCTTGTTCGATTGTGCCTGAAAGGCATTGGGTGGGCGCAAAGCAGAAAACACAAGGCGTGTGACAAGGAAAGGGCACGGAAGGAAGACGGGTCAGTGTGAGAAGGGAGAGAAAGGGAGCAAGTTTCAGTTGAAGAAAAGTATCAGAAGTGAATTCAAGAAAGCGAGAAAGAGGTGGCTGAACGGACAAACGGACACTGTACAATATATTTTCTAGCAAACTCTCCAGCAGCTCACCGCAGGGATTGCCCGAGTCCCCACAGCATTGAGCGGCCTGGCTGCTGGCTGTCGCGTCCACATGCACCTCCGGCAGCAGCGGGCACGCGGCTGGTGGATAAAGGTGTGGGAAGGGATGCGAAGCGGTGGAGAGGGACGGAAAGAGGGGGAGGGGAGAGTGGGGAAAGGGAAGGGAGGGAGGGCGTGGGGGGGAAGAAGTGGGACGGAGGGAGGGGAGGGAAACGGGATGGGAAGAGCGAGAACGAGGGGAACAACGAGGGAAAGGGAAGGAGGGGGTTGGGGAAAGAGGCAAAGGGAGGGGAAGGGAGAGGGTGAGGGAGAAGGTGGATGACAGTATGGCGAGAAAGGGATGGCAAGAAAGGAATGTCTGTAGACAGACTAGCAGCAGCCACATAAATCCTGAGCTGGAAACCTTCCCATATCCCATATCGATCCTGAACCGCCGGGAACCTTTCCATATCAATCCTGAACCGCCGGGAACCTTTCCATATCAATCTTGAGCCGAAGCTCCTGGAATACCTTTTGAGAATTCTCAAAAGTGACCCCAACTTAATCTAGAACCGAAAGCTCCGGGCATACCTTCTGCTTGACCAACTGCCAGTGCCAGCAGCAGCAGAAGCAGCAACGGTACCATCAGGCACGTCAGGAGCTCCGGAAAACGCGGTAGCTGCTGTCGCTGTGAGTCGCAGCGAGTGCGCATGCTTTCAGGTCGATTCGCTCCGCGACAGCAACGGTAACTCAAAGGCTGTCGCCGTGAATCGCGGGGAGATAGACAGGGTGAAGCACGGCTGGAAGCTACGTCGGCGACTGTTGCGTGTAACATAGTCGTCGTGTGGCTCCGCGATACCCGCTGGATCAATCCCAGATTTCACGCGGAAAATACCACAAACCCTACAGGATCGTCCAATGGCGAGACTATGAAGTGCTGGTTCTTACGCCACGTGGCGAGCTCTTAGAACGAGAGAATAATGGCTAACCGCGCAGGATATAAATAGCTTTGGAAAGAGAGGATCTTTCCGTCATTATAGCCAGCGCCGTTACTATCCAGTAGTTTATGAAGAGACTCGTTGTGTTCGCCCGCCATTACTCGACTTTTCGTCATCACCAAAGCATCCAGGAGTTCTAAGAGCAATCCGTGGCATTCCCTGGCAATCCTTGGCGTTATGTCACTGATGCACCAGTGGTCTTCACGCTTTTGAAGGAACTAACGTTACTCGGGCTTCACTGTCAAGGAAGAAATAGCTTATTTCCGTGCTCTAAATGACAATGCGAAGACTTGAGCTTGAGCTTTCATTTTTTGTCGACTCAGAAAACATAATATTACACGAATTATACGCAATTTGTGGGAACGAAAGGCGAGATTACGGCACTATGTACAAGCATTCGCTTTCTATTTATATCGCACCACAACGATTGCAATGCTGCGCGAGCTATTTAGCGGGATTGTTGATGCAAGATTGTGATATCGTTCCTGTTCCAGCCATGGGTCTCCCATTGCTGTGTTCCTTAAGCTAAGAAAGCAAGGCAGACTGGAGAAAAAGACAAGCTAATGTAAGTTGTTTTGATGGAGATTTTCACCATAGGGAAAACTGGCATCAGGCGGAAGGAAGCAGCACGGTACAGGATGGCCGTCCCAACGTGGAGGGGGAAAGGGCCGCGGTGGAGCGAATTACCCAAAAAAGTGCAAGATTACAACATGGTAACGAAACAGATAGCCCAAGTGGCGGTAACACATTCTCGGAAGCGAATGTCTCTTTTACTGAAATGTTTATTCCCCCTCCAGAGGTGATGTGGGACCATAACTGATAACGGGCGTTTTATTCCATTTCTGCGACCTTTTCGAGTTGTTTGTCAACGACAAAGCACGAGGCTGGTGAAACTGCCCGCTCTGGGTTCCTCTTTCCTCCACAGCACCTTCCTCACACCTCCACCGTGCCTCGCCTGACAAATTTCTCGCGAGTCTTCCATCACATGGCTTCCGTCCGTTACTGCACCCAACTGCCCTGCCCAGCACACCGAAAACTAGCGCGTCGCTGACTCGCGGGCGGAGTGCTATAGATTCGTTTTTTACGGGTGACCCGTTACAAGGTCATCACCGTCATCAGCGTGTTCCAGCATAGCAGGTGTTTTGCATTTGAAGTGCAGTGGTGCTATTTTCATGGCCGCTTCTGCCAAATCCTAAATTTGACTCGGGACCTCGTCATAGTGTACGCACTTTTTGCTAAAAAGCGCGCGCTGTGAACATTATGGGCAACTTCAGCAAAGCATCAATCAAAGTTAGTCTAAGCAAACATGCAAAATGGAAACAATAAAGAAGCCTACTTGGATTGTCAAGTCATTATCGTTAAAACAAACATACGGTAGCGAATGGCCATAGGTCAGTCAAAGAGCCTCTCCGCCATTGGATGAAACATAGTGCATCGGTAAGTTGTTAGAAAGGCACATTTTCCAGGTCACAACTCCTGCTTGTGTACCCTGCATGACCTGGACACGGAATTCAAGAAAGTGTAAGAGATATTAGGATGGCAACGCATGCCGTGGTTCAGTCCCTAGAAAGGGAAACTTGTAGAATGGAGAGCATAACGGTGCGTATGGAGGAATTGTTTGCTTGTTACACACAGAATCAATTTTGCCACAATCCTCACCTGACATTGCTGGCCCCCTTGTTTTGTTGTTGCTGCTGCTGCTGTGGCTGTGGTGATTGCGGCTTCTGCTTGCACAGCTGCCTGAAGTTTCCACCAGGGCTTGATGAAGGATGAACACTGAACTGCCACATTGGTCGCTTCTGCAGCTGCTGCTGCTGATGCTGCTGCTTCCTGTGGTGTGGCTGCTTCTGCTCCTGCTGTCCCTCCTGCTTGTGCTTCTGTGGCTGTGTCTGCTCTTTTCCCAGAGCCTGCTTCTCATTCTTAATTTTCTCTCCAAAATCATGACTCCTCGTAACCTTATAAGCCGCTTCCTCCTCACCACCTGTGCTCACTTCTTCGCAATCCGCTTTCTCACTTGATTCCACCCTCTTGTCTACTTTCGCTTCCACCTGCTCGTCCTCCTGCAGTTGTCTCCTCCTCTGCCCGTCTTCCGTCTCATTGTCACCCAATTCTGACCCATCTGGGCAGCTATTATCCTGTTCACTAAACCTGGAAGGTTTCTGCCCGCTCGGACGCTGACCTTCTTGAAACGATGCCACGTCATCATAGGATTTGCGTAGGACCGTTTCAGCTCCCCCCCGGCGCTGATTCGTCCACTTCTGCTGCCACGCCGCCTGCTGCTGCTCCTGCTGATGCTGCTCGGCTACTGGCTCCAGAAGCGGGATGATCTTCGCCGTCCATTCCTTCGTATCCAACGGCCCATCCTCGTTCGCACGTTTCACAACGTCCAACCCACCAGAGGCGACGATGTACGAAGCGGACAAACGATGCGAGCTCAGCGCAAACAACGCCCACGCCGCCCGCCGCGAAACGCGCTCCTGCAGGCTGATATCTGCCGGCCCGCACAGGAGGAGATCTAGCAGCGGCGGCACAGCTCCCGTCCCAGCAATCATTACTTTATTTTCGTCGTTATCCTCCGCGATCGAGCCCAGCGCAAATGCCGCTTTTTCCTGTACCAGCAGCGAGCCTTCTCGTAACGCTTCTGTCAATATCGGGATCGCGCCGGCTCGCGCCGCGGCGTCTTGGTTCTCCTTGGCCTTCGCGACGACATGCGCGAGGGCCTCCATCGCCTGTCGCCGGACTTTCGCCTCGCTCGCTGATTGGACAATGGCGACGAGTGACGGGATCGCCTCGCCTGCAACGATCACGGGCGATTTGCTGTCGCAGTCGCTGTCGCAGCCCGTCGCAAGGTTCAGCAGCAGGTTCACCGCGACCGCCTGCGCCTCGGGGTTGCCGCCGCGAAGCATGGCGATTAGCGACGGCACGCACCCCGCCTTGGCGATGACCTGGCAATTAGCGGGAAGCGTGGAGAGCTGCACTAAAGCGCGTGCCACGAGTAGGTTCAGCGATTCGCGCTGAGGGGGCTCTGGAAGCGGCGGAAGCGGAAGCAACGCAGCCACCGCGCCCCTTCCGCAACTTATCCCCCCTGGTTTTCCCCGTTCCCCACCACTGCTCCCTCCTGTTTTCCCCGTTCCCCGGCTACCCGCGCTCCCCCCTCCGCTTCCCCCGGCGGAAAGCACCCCCCCTCCTTGGAGCCAATCATCGTCGTCTACGCAACCGGGTAACACCGACTCGTCGTCCAATAGGAAGTCGTCTTCAGGCAGCGACAGCAGCACCGACAGAACCGGCACCGCCCCCGCCGCCGCGGCTTGGAGCTTCCCCTCATCCGTTACAATCACATCCATTAGCGAGGCCAGAGCCGCGCGCTTCTCTTCCGCCGATCCTTCCGCCAGTGCGTCCACGAGCCGGCACACGTTGGCGCTCGCCGCAGCGGCGGCGGAGATACTCGACCGGTTGAGCGCGGACGGCAGCGGGGACGACGCGCGGGGGCGCCGCGGGGAGAACATCCTCGGCGCGGCGAACGCGGCGGCAGCGGCGGCGGCGGCGGCGGTCGCGGGGCTGAGCGGACGAGGCGAGACGGCGATCGAGCCGTAGTATGGCTGCATCCTGCCGGAGGAAGCGGAGGAGACGGTGTAGGTTCGGCCCGGGCCCGCGAACCGGCTCCCTCCGCCACCGCCGCCGCCGCCGTTGTTAGCTCCTATCAAGGCGAGTGCCGCGGAGGCCGCAGCATCGGCCGCGCTGCTATCGCGCTCCCTCCGCTCCCCCCCGAGGAGCGCCAGCGGCGGCGCCCCTGTTAATATCCCCGGTCGTTGCCGCCCCGCGGACCCACCCCTCCCGTACAGTCCCCCCGCAGGCGGCCCGCCAAACCCGGAAGCGGCGGAGGCGGAGATCGACCTCGGGGGGATCCCGCGCACCTGCATCTGCTGCCACGTCATCATCCCGGGAGGCCTTGCGGAGTCTTTGGCGGAAAACGTAGCGGCGGAGGGGCCGATCATGGGGCTCTGGGGAAACATTTCCGCCACCTGCTGGAGAACCCGCGCAGGCTGTTCCGCCCCGCCGCCGGGGAACATTACCGAGCTTCCGCTTCCGCCGGTGATACCGCTTCCGCTGTACGACTCCAGGAACGTGGAAGGTTCCTTACTCGACCCGCTAGTGTGACTGCACGAGACGGTTCGTAACGGGAAGTGGTTCTGCGGCGTCGGTGGTGGCGCTTGTGACACCAACGAGGTCGACAGCGGCCCGTGGTCGGCGGCGATTTTGGGATTGGTTGTATTAGAAGCCTGTCCCAGCAGCATCGAGCAGACAGTGTGACAATGCCGAATTTCCATCACGCACGCGTCTGCTTTGCGCGCCAGCCCCTTATGATGATGCCCTAGGCTGAAAAACATCCCCGGTATAGTCAGCTTGCACGCTTTCAGCAACGCGATAACGTCTTTAAGCTCCGACGCGAGACGGCGGAGGACGAACGCGGACCGCGGGTCGAAGGAGAGCGACGGGGCGGAGCTTTTCAGAAGATGGAGGGTCGGCAGCAGCTGTCGCACGCACACCGCGACTTTCTCCACGCTGCTGCGATGCACGTAGAGGTGCGGAGTCGCGGTCAGGCGTGCCACGTGTTCGGCCAGAGAGAGCGCTGACGTCAGATCCGCGCTGGCAAGGATGCTGTACGAGTCAGTGGTTAGAGATGCCGCCGTCGCCGCAATTGCGCTCAAGCTGGGGCTTCCAGGTGGCATGATGGCATTGGCTGGTTCGTTTCGGTCTAATCTGTCCTGTTCGGGATAAACTGTTCCTACAGCCATGTCGCGCGCGTCCGGCTCGAAGCGCCAGCTACCACTAGACTTTGTCGTTGCGATAATAAGCCAGGGGGGTCAGGAAATTAGAAAAAAAAAACTTGTTAGAACGCCACTGGGTGGGCAGTCGAAGCGCACAAGGCCATGGCCCCAACCACTCACGATTATCGTAGCTATACGCGATGCTGTATGAGCCAACTAAGGATGTGTGACCCGTAGGGTGATGCCGCGTTGACTAGCTTATTAAACCCTGAAGCATTGCGACTAAAGAAACCAGCAGCACCAGCCCTAAGTTTCAAGTGATAGATAGTAGGATGTTGGTCGCATCGCAAACTTGCGGACTGTCCTAGTGGGACCTACTTCTCCGCTCCGCGCAAGTTTCAAGCACACTCAAATTTGGATAGCACAGAACAGAGAGGCCTAGTAGCGGTAAAGTGGCTTGTGAAGCTTTCGTGCCTCTTAGGTCCCCTAGCAAATTTGCAGCATGGCGGCACGAGAGTCACAAACAGGAGTATCTCGTTTCGGCTTGGAGCTTGAAGGCAAGCACGGGACGTGGGATTGTATCGAGGGAATGTACAGACCGGGATAAGGGAAGGGAAAAGGCGGGAGCGGGGTTGGTTGGACTGGAACTGCTAAGATGGAACAGTGGCATTTCATGGACCCATAGACCCCCCAAAGCAAGCAAACAAGCACACCGGGGTGTGTGTGTCTGGCACCTCCTCGCACAAGGGCTAGCAAGCAACTGCATCAGTGAACTGTTCGCTTACAGCCGTACAGAACAAGATCAAAAGCAGGATACTTGTGCACGCCTACGTAACAAACTCGTGCTGTGCTGCAGTGATACTGCTGCCATGTCCAAGAACTAGTCTCATCCCATCACATGTCACATTTTCGAAGGGATGTGCAATTTCCTACGTGCAAGATGCGAGAAGGCGACACGGTAAAAAAAGAAATGCGGCTCGTTTCGAAATTCGCGGTTTGCTGACATGGCATGCTTAGCATCTCCAGTAACCTGGACCTTGGGCCAATGCATGAGTTGGCAGGTTATGGCAGTGACCAGGCTCGCCTCAACTGGAGTGACGTGCAGGGTTCTGGGAGCCAGGTTTGTTTGCCATGTTTACCCTGCTTATCAGAGCTGTATACAGTATTGTGATTGCGAATTACAGTAGACAGCTGCCAGTTCAACCGTTTGAATTCTCCTAGTGTGCTATGGAACACACCGAAACTGCCACCCCATCAACCAACAAAAAAAATATCCTGAAGTGGATGGAGAACGCGTTCTAAAAAAACCCCAAGTCCACTCCCACAAAAGCGACAATATAGATGCTGCAAAACACGCAAACGCCAAAGCCTGGTGTCGGTATCCACCCTTTTTCCCTCACAAAGCATGGCACACTAGTTGTGACTGTGAACATGTGTCGGGCTAAAAAAACACTGGTTGCTTACAGTGGGCGGAAGGAACCCAGTAAATGATGTGAAAATGGAAACACATCAACGGGCAGGGTGAATAGGGTGTAAAACTCTGAACTGGGAGAGATTTCCAAAACATATCGAGAACACCAGCTCCGTGACGTTACGAAATGGTTCGTTGGGGTAGTGAACACTGCTGCCGGACAAGTGAAAATGGTCCTTTTCTGCTAACGGACAACACTTTCGTCCACCGTACATCTGCTGGATCCTCGTCCCTAATGCCACCAAAAAATGCAAGGTTTGGATGGGAGCTGGTAACGGCCTTATTCGAGCATTTCTAAAGAAAGAAATGAAGCGTTTTGTTTCATGCAAATAAACAGACGTATGATATCTAGATTGGTTGATATTTAGATGTGAGAGTAACATATGATCAAGTTACCGGTTTCGCACACCCGTTCCTCGTCATGCTCGTGGTCAGTGTTTGTCCAATCCAAGGTCACCTCCCCTTGCCCCTGCTGTCACCGCCCCTGTGTGCATATATATCAATGACCCGATGTTTCCAGAACAGATGTGTCCTTTATAACCAGCTTAAAGCCCGCGTCCCAAATTGCGGGCCGCGAGGGTCAAGTTTTTAAAACTTGACGAAGTTGAGTGTCCAAGCTTTTGAAAGTCACGCACTTGCAATTTGGGACTTTCGAAGACAGATTCACTCACCAGGGGGAAAACCGAGGGTTGGCTGGGTCTCGCGAAAAAAACGAACCTAGACGAAATCGGAAACTCTCGCCAAAGCCCACACCAGAAAAACTCCCTCTGGTCAACTTTTAAAAGCATGAACAATTTGGGCCGCCGTCTAAAAATTAGCCGAACCATGGGGAACCATGTTTCGGTTGTTGAGAATGACCCTTCAAGGGGCAATGTACACACATCCACCCCTCCACTCCACGATGCTTCATTTGCCCTCCGCCATTCTCCTGATCCCTTTCCGCTCCGCTCGCCTTCTGCTTTCCTCTGGCTGTCCCCGTTTTCCGCCTATTTTTTTCTTCTTCCCCACAACCTTCCCCTTGCGACTCTCCCCCCTCACCTCCACTCGTGCTAGCCTCCAGCTGTTGCTGCTTGAACTCCCTAGGGCTTCCCTCAGTCTGCCAAGGGAGAGGCTAGGGTTTGGATCCCTTCGACCCAGCCCTCGCGCACTCAGGGAAGAAGCCAGCTGTACCATTACTACCGTTGGGACCCTCCGTATTATCCGCGGCTTCTTCCTGTAGCGATTTCCAGCTGCAGCTTTTGTTTTCGCTTTTTTTTTTTCCATTTTTTGGGTCGCGGTGTCGATGCTTGTGGTCACTTGAGCTCGAAATGGCGCCTGGTGACGGCTTTGAGTTTGGCGGGGAGAGGGTCGTTGTCGGAGTTAGTAAGGACCCATCGTGTAAAGAAGCCATTAAATGGGCCATTACGAATAAAGTTCGCAGCCCAGACGACATCCTTATATTGCTCCATGTGGTCACTAAGATTCCCAGTCCAAGTAAGCAGTTTTATGGCTCCCTTTCTCCTAAACTGGATGTTTGTTTCCTTAAGTGCGGGTTTCGTAAAGTCTGTGCTTCTATTATTGCTTGCACAACATTAACTAGTATTCTTGTTTCACGGATCAGGTATGGGTGCTTATGGAGGAGCGGGAAGGCAAGTTGCAGGTATTCAAGTCGTTTAGATTAAAACATTATTACTCGTCCGTTTTTATCAAAGTGCAGTCATTACGGCGTTCAAATTTGCAATTTGATCCATTTTGACAAAACTCAGTGTATTGCCGGCGTTAAATACCTGCCATATTCGCATGCTCATTCCTCCTGAATATTTTCCAAAGCTCCTTACATGACGTTACACGGCTTCTGCGTGCTTACTGCGCTGACTTTAATGATCTCTTCTGGTTGGTTCTGGTTGCAGGAGCGGTGGAGATGTATCAGAGCGAGGTCAACAACACCATGTTTGTGCATTATGTCCGCACCATCGTGCAGCCTATGATGCTCTCTCTGAAGAAACTCGTCGATCCCAAGGTATATCGCAGGTTTGCTATCGCATCTGATGTCTCCCGTGGTAGTGATACGAGTGACTGCAGCCATTCTGTTCCGAGTCGCGGTTTTCCTGGACAATGACCCGGTTTTGAAACGAGAGAGGAACAAAATATTGTTTATTCATTTTTGGTCGTCCATTCGATACTGCAGATCAAGTTGGAGCTGAAGGTCGGCCGAAACAACTCAAGAGAAAAGGGAATCGTGGAAGAGTCGAGCAAGCTGAAAGCGACGACGCTGGTTCTAGGAACCAATGCGCGAGGAATGTTCAGCATGTATGCATCGTTCCCGCTGTTTCACTGCTTTTCAAGTTTTCTTCGGGAGCTTTTCAAGAAAGAGTATCTGGAAGCCGTCTCATGTGCTGATCTGTGTTTGACCTGGCAGGCGGGGCAAGTCATCGAGTACCGGAGCGTACTGCGTTCGTTATAAGCCTCACGGGCTCTCCGTTTTTGTGATTCAAAAGGACAAGGTCGTTCTGTACAAGGAATCGGAAGGCTCGCCCATGTCATCTGCTTCGGGAAGTCCTGCTGGCTCGGGCCGTCTGATGCCAGGCTCGGGAGGGTCCGGCCAAGGCTCGGGTTCCCTCGAGCCGACCTACAGCGGCGGGTTCAATGAATCGGGTAAGCGTTACGTCAGTGGCAATTTGCTGTTTGATATGATATCACTTCGGATCATGCAGGGCACATTCACATTTCTGAAAATGAGAAATGAGGGCAGATCAGACCTCTCTGAAATCTGGGAAGGTGAAGATTCAGGAAGGGCGAGGAAGGCAGAATTGAACAAACAAAATTAACGATGTATTTTTTTTGTTTTTCTTGCTATCCCTGAAAAACAAATTCACAGGAGGAAGAAGCGGCGAGTACGACGAATCGGGCGGAGGATACGGAGCACCCGTTGGCTCATCCTACGGCCAGTACCAGCAGTACCCTGCGCGCGGGGGAGCTCCGCAAGGGGGGGGCTGGGGCGGTGGCGGCGGAGGAATGAACGCGCCATACGGGGGAATGATGGGGGGAGGAGTGGCGCCGAGAGGCCAGTACGGCAGCAACGACTCGAGCCCGCAAGGCTCGGGACCCATGCAGCCCTACATGCCCGCGTCCGGCGGCGGCGGATCCGGCAGCCTGCAGTCGCGATTCTCCATGGACGGCGGGAGCATGGACAGCTCTCCCGGCGGCGGAGGTCCCAAGGGCGGGAGCGATATCCAGCAAGCCGCGGCGCTGTCGGCGCTGGCGTGGTCGAAGCAGGCGGCGAACACGGCGGAGGGGCAGAAGCTGCAATCGGACTACCTCGCGGAGTTCGACGCGTGGAAGCGCGCCAATCAGGCGGCGACGTTTCAGCAGCAGCAGGACTTCATGTCGGATCTTCAGTCGCGCATGACCAAGGCGCGCGCGGCGCTCGCGGGGCTACAGCTGGGGGAAGGGGGAGGGGGAGGGTCGCCTGCGGGCGGTGGTGGGGGGGAGATGGGGGGTGATGGTGGCGGTGGTGGGGGTGGGATGCAGCATTCGTATCCCGCGGCCATTCCTGCTCCTGTTCCGGCTGCTTCGGACGTTTCTTCTGTTGGCGGTGGTGGCGGCGTTGAGGTGAGGAGACTGAACTATATTCTAAAATTCTACGCCTTCTCTTTCTCCATTCCTCCTCCCGGCCTCCCCCCCGGCTTTCCCACAACCTCTTGGTTCCCCCCCTCTTCGACCCTCTCCCTCCTCTGTCACTTGTTCGCTCGCCCCATCTCCCTCCCACACGCCCCACATTCAAACACACCACACACAATTGTCGTGTACCACTTATTTTATTCTTATTTCCCAATACTCACAAGACGAGATCCCCACGGCTTGTTTCCAGAACGATCTTCTTCGCGAGTTGGAGCGTTTGAGGCAACGCGCTCCCTTTCCTTCCCTCCCCTCCCTCCTCTCTCTCCCCTCCCTTCCCTCCCCTCTCTCCTCTCTCTCCCCTCCCTTCCCTCCCCTCTCTCCTCTCTCTCCCCTCCCTTCCCCTTCCCTCCCCTTCTCTTCCCCCCCGCCTTCCCCCATTCCTCCCGCAACCTCCTTCAGAACGACCTACGGCGCGAGTTGGAGCTGATGCGGCAGCGCGCGGCGGAGGCGGAGAAGGCGCGCCTGGAGGCGGAGCAGCGCGCGCAGCGCGCGCTCTCCGAAGCGGACCGCTCCCTCCGCGAAGTCGAGGCGCAGAACAAGCGGCGGGAGCTGGAAACGGCGGTGCGCATTGAGATGGCGTCGCAGGAGGCGGCGCGCGCCATGGCGGCGGCGGAGGAGGCGCGGAAGCAGGCGGAGCTGGAGGCGCAGAAGACGGAGGTGGCGATGAAGCAGGCGGCGATGACTCGCGCGGCGCTGGAGCTGGAGGAGAAGCGGCGGCAGGAGGCGGAGAAGAAGGCGAAATCGGAAAAGGGCAGCATGCGCATGATGGCTAACTACCGCGAATACTCTTATGATGACATTGTGGTGAGTGGATGGGTTGGGTGGGGGGGGAGGGGGGGTGAGGAATCACCAGAAACAGAGTGGCCGGAAAAGGGCAGCATGCGCATGATGGCGAATTACCGCGAGTATTCTTATGATGACATTGTGGTGAGTGGATGGGTTGGGGGGGGGTAGGAATCACCAGAAACAGCACGTCTGGAGAAGGGCAGCATGTGCTTGATGGCTAACTACCGCGAGTATTCTTATGACGACATTGTGGTGCGTAGAAGGGGCAATGAGCAGGAGGGTACATTGTGTATGTTGGAGGTTCGGGAGGTGGGTATGTATGTGCTTTCACGCATTCGTATGATGGCTAATTACAGTGACTATTCTTATGATGACATTGTGGTGAGTGGGGGGGGAATCATCAGAAACAGCACGGCCGTAGAATGTGGGTATGCGATGCGCATGACGGCCAACTACCGCGAGTACTCGTATGACGACATTGTGGTGAGTGGGAGGCGTGTGGGTGGGTGAATCGGTGTGTGTGTGGGTGAGTGAATGGTTGGATGGGTGGGTGGGTGGGTGGGTGGGTGGGAGGGTGGGTGGGTGGGTGGGTGGGTCCAACGCGACTCGAAGCACAAATTTGTACCGTCCTGACCTCGTTTCCTTTCCCCCCATGGCGACCCTTGGCAGTTTGCAACGGAGAATTTCAAGCCGGATCGCAAGCTGGGCGAGGGCGGATTTGGGACAGTGTTTTCCGGCACGCTGCACCACACGCCTGTCGCAGTGAAGGTGCTGAAGAACACGGACGCCATGCAGGCCGCCCACGAGTTCCAACAAGAGGTGAGAATGTGCACAGGGGTTTGGTGCAAGTCTAGTGAGGATTGGGGCAGAGAGTGAGGTCTGCAGGGGAGTGGAACGGTGTTCTCTGGCCTGCTGCGCTGCACCACACGCCCGTGGCGGTGAAGGTGCTGAAGAACACGGACGCCATGCAAGCCGCCCACGAGTTCCAACAAGAGGTGCGCAGCAGATAGGGTTGGCGGCCAGGCCATTTGTGTCTTGGGCAGCGCTTGATGGTTGAGGGGCTGGGTCAGATCCAACACCCTCGTTTCTCTTCTCCCCCCATCCAGCCCCCCACCTTTCCTCTTTCCCCCTCCTTGCCCCTTCGTTTTCCTGTGCCCCGCTCTCCCCTTCCCACCCACCCCCCACGCGCCAACCAGGTGGAGGTGCTGAGTCGGATCCAGCACCCTCGCTCACATGGTATAACAACTTCTAGTACTCGCTCACACAATTCTCGCCTCATTTTCCCTCCCACCCACCCCCACCTTCCTTCCCATCCCCCCAACCAGGTCGAAGTGCTGAGTCAGATTCAGCACCCACACGTGGTGATGCTACTCGGCTGCTGTCCCGACAAGTACTGCCTCGTCTACGAGTTCATGGCCAACGGCTCTCTAGAGGACCGCCTGCTCTGCGCCAACAACTCGCCTCCCCTCCCCTGGTACATCCGCATGCGCGTCGCAGCCGAAATCGCCTCAGCTCTCCTCATCCTCCACACGCGCCCTGTGCCCATTGTCCACCGCGACTTAAAGCCCGGCAACATTCTTCTCGATAAGAATTTCGTCGCGAAGCTTGGAGACGTCGGCCTGGCGAAGCTCATGCCGGGTCTCTCCATGGATCAAACCTACATGCGGGAATCGGTTCCTGTCGGCACCTTCGCGTACGTCGACCCGGAGTTCCAACGCACGGGGGAATTCGGCCCGAAATCCGATGTGTATGCGCTCGGAATCGTGCTCCTCGATCTCCTCACCGGGCGCAAGCCGAACGTATACGAGGGGCTAGAAGAAGCAGTGGACGACGGAGACGAGGAGGCAATGAGGGAGTTTCTAGATGAACGTGCCGGGAACTGGCCGCTGGATATAGTCATGGAGGTGGCAAAAATTGCTGTAAAATGCTCGGAAATGAGGAGGAAGAAGCGGCCGGATCTAGAGACTCATGTGATGCCGGTGCTGGATCGAGCACGGGCGCGCGCGGTTCAGGCGGAGGAGGAGGCAAGGAGAACGCCGGCGAAGCGGTCGATTGGGGATGCGCCCAGCAGCCTGTTCTGCCCCATCACTCAGGCAAGCTCGGGTTCCCTTGTGATTGTGGCCCCCTGTCCCCTTCTCTCTGTGTATTTTGAGCCGATTTGGAGGCGCATATGATGCTGGTGCTGGATAAGGCTAGAGCGGGGGCGGTGCAGGTGGAGGTGGAGGCGAGGCGGACCCCGGCGAAGCGGTCGATTGGTGATGCGCCCAGCAGCCTGCTCTGCCCCATCACTCAGGCAAGGTTGGTTTTCCTTGTGATTGTGTCATCCCTTCCCCTTTGTCTCCCTTCTCCACCCGTTCCGACCAGCCCCCCTCTTTCTTCCCCACTTCTCCGTTTCTCCCCCTCCCGTGAGCCTGTATTCGTGTGTTTGTGTTCTGTCCACCCTCTCGCCTTCTGCATCCCATTTTCTCCCTTGTACAGGAGAGATGATGGTGAAAACCCGGTGCTGGCGGCGGACAAGCACACGTATTACCACACTAAGGTGACTTTTGAGTCGACTCAAAAGTCACCTTGCTGGCTGCGGACAAGCACACGTATTACCACACTAACATTCCCTTTTCCGCCCTCTCACCCACTGCATCTCATACCCTCCCAAACCCCCCTTCCTTCCCCCTCTCCCATGCACAGGAGATGATGGTGAACCCGGAGCTGGCGGCGGACGGGTACACGTACGAGAAGTCACTAGAAACCCCATGTCCACCTTCTCACCCACTACTTCTCATACCCTCCCACCCCCTCTCACTGCTCTCAACCGCACAGGAGATGATGGTGAACCCGGTGTTGGCGGCGGATGGGCACACGTACGAGAAGGAGGCGATAGAATCGTGGCTGGAGAGCAGCGACCGCTCGCCCATGACCAACGAGCAGCTGCCCTCCAAAGACCTCGTGCCCAACCATGCCGTGCGCGCCATGATCAAAGACTGGCGGGAACGCAACCTATGAGCAGCCTATGAGCACGCATAATTCATTTTCGAGTTGACTCTCAGGTCAAGGATTGGTGGGAACGCAACCTATGAGCACGCACTGTGCACCGTTCGATTTCATTTGCGGAGGGCACGGCGGATGAGTTTGGTGGGTGGGTATAAGCACGATTGGGCCTTGTTGAAAGGTACTGCAAACTTTCTTTCTCCCTCTCTCAAGGTTGGTAGTGGGAAGGGGTGAGGCAGGGTGAGGCACTGTGAGGCAGGGTGAGGCACTGTGAGGCAGGGTGAGGCAGGGTGAGGCAGGATTACCTTATGCTTCTCTTTTTGTGTTGAGAGACTCCTGCCTGCCGTTTGTTCTGCTTCGGTCTCGGCTACAAGGCCCACTTACAGGCTTACAATGCAGGCTCTCAATCATACCTACCCCCCACCCTTTGCCAAATGATAGTTGCTACAGTGATAGCATGATTGAGGAGTGGTTACTGTCAATCTTGAATGTTACAGGAGGGAGGTGGTAGATAAGCTTAGGTTCTGCTCTGCAAGGAAACCTCTTATAGGTCTATATCTAAGAAATAGGATGTGCAGTGATGACATGGACACAGCAATCTTAGTGTGATTCATTATATTCTTCTGATGTTCAGCTTCCATTGCGAGATCAGATTTCCTGGAATTAAGCATCAATGCATTTAATCCAACAAAAGATACTGAACAAAGTGGATGGCGCTGATTGATGAAATACCGTAGGTACCCTCAGGTGCCTCTGCTGTATTCTGGGGTAGTTCGGAACACTTTTCACAAAGGGATACAACATACAGCTTTAGCAAGTGAAATCTTTTTTTTTTCACAAATTCAACATACAGCTTTAGCAGCTATACAACAGCACTAAAACTTAGTATTAGTGCCAACCACACATGCCTTCCTCAATTGCTTCAATGCTGAAACCTGCGATGTGACTCACACGCACATGCGCACAAACACACACCCGTGCGCCCCACACACGCATCCACCAACCCACACTCACACACGCATGCACCCCCCCTCCCCCCGCCCTCCACCACCACCACCACAAACACACGCATAATATAGCAACCACAAATGACAGCTTAGAAAGTATAAATTAACCAGGAAAAGGCAAAACGCACACAATGACACACACCCACACGCCCACACCCACACCCCTCCCCTCTCCCCTTCACACACACACACACACCTCCAAGTAAGACACCATCTTGACTGTCATCCCCAATGCTGCAGCAATCTGTGAACACACACACACACACACACACACACACACACACACACACACACGCGCGCGCGCGCAACAAACAAACAAAAACAAGCAAACGAGAAAACGAATGTCAAATACAGTGCATCGTCAGATGTCAAATGGTGCATCAAGTGGATTGATGCACGCCAAACCGAGGCATGCACTCACCTCCTCTTGTGATACTTGGCGAGATCCCCTAAGGCCAAACCGAAGCTCCAGAATCTGCTCATTCAGGGTGCAGACACGAAGGGGGCGAGGACGGTCAGAGACAGGGAGAGAGAGGTAGGGAGAGAGAGGTAGGGAGAGAGGTAGGGAGAGAGAGGTAGGGAGAGAGAGATTACACCATGTGCGGGGAAGGGGCACAGGAACACATGGCACACGAACACATGGCACACGAACACATGGCACAGGAACACATGGCACACAAACACATGGCACAGGAACACATGGCACACGAACACATGGCACACGGCGAGAACCCCTAAGTCCAAACCGAAGCTCCAGAATCTGCTTATTCAGGGTGCAGACACGAAGGGGGCGAGGGCGGTGCAAGTCAGGTAGAGGAACGGCAAACGTCATTGCAACGACCTTAGGGAAGGTGCTTGAACACACGGCACATGCACAGAATTGCAGCTGATTCTGCTTATCTGTACCCACCTCTGCCCCTCTGTACCCTCAATTGTACCTGCCTCTGCCCATTTGTAACCACCTCTGCTCATTTGTACGCACCACTACCCATTTGTACCCGCCGCCTCTGCCCATGTGTTAGCAAAAAGTGCACTCACGAGGCGGCGGTGCGGGTCGAGGGAGGAGAGAGCATGTGAGAGGAGGACCAGGTGCTCCGAGTCCAGTAGATGCTGTTGGGCGGGGAAGAACAGGAGGAGAATAACGGGAGGAGTAGAAGGAGGGGGGGTTGCTTTTGAGTCGACTCAAAAGCAGAGTCCAGTAGATGCTGTGGGATGGGGAAGAACGGGAGGAGTAGAAGGAGGGGGAGGGTGCGGGGGGGGGAGGAGAGGAGGTTGTTACTGTCGGCTCAAAAGAAGGGGAGATCATGTGGGAGAAGGACCAGGTGTTCTTATGAGTCCAGTCCAGTAGATTCCGTAGTCAGAGGAAAAGGACTCAGCACGGTTGCGGTTGGGCAGGGAAGAGGGTTACGGGGTTGCATCACGGGCTACGAACGTGCTCTCAGAACACAATATCTCATCCATGTTCTCATCCCCACTCCCATCCCTCCTGTCAGCCCACTCTCAAACCCACCTGCCAGGGGTCCGCTTTGTCCGTTTTGCCTGCGGGAGAATGTCTCAGTGTGTGTGCGGGCGGGGAGGGAGGAGGAGTGAGTGGGGTTGCATCATGTGCTACCTGCGTGCTCCCATAATCACAAGTCTCATCCCTGTTCTCATCCCTATTCTCATCCCTGTTCTCATCCCTGTTCTCATTAACACTCTCAGACCCACCTGCCAGGGGTCCGCTTTGTCTGCGGAGAATGTCTCAGTGTGTGTGCTGGCGGGGAGGGAGGAGGAGTGAGTGGGGTTGCATCATGTGCTACCTGCGTGCTCCCATAATCCCAAGCATCATCCCTGTTCTCATCCCTGTTCTCATCCCTGTTCTCATCCCTATTCTCATCCCTATTCTCATCCCTGTTCTCATCCCTGTTCTCATCCCTGTTCTCATCCCTGTTCTCATCCCTGTTCTCATCCCTGTTCTCATCCCTCTTCTCATCCCTCTTCTCATCCCTGTTCTCATCCCTCTTCTCATCCCTGTTCTCATCCCTCTTCTCATCCCTCTTCTCATCCCTATTCTCATCCCTGTTCTCATTAACACTCTCAGACCCACCTGCCAGGGATCTGTTTTGTCGTTGGAGAATGTCTCAGTGTGTGTGCGGTTGGGGAGGGAGGAGACGTCGAAAGAGAGTGGATTCTTCACTCGCCTCATGGCCCTCGATACAGTCACAATCTGGTGGAAGGAGGATACCAAGAGACATACAAGGAGGTTTACTTCTATCATAGCCCTCGATACAGTCACAATTTGGTGCAAGGGAGAAAAATTGAGACATGAAAGGTCATTCTTGGTTCCTGTGATCGCCCTGCCCAGTCCCAGTCCCAGTCCCAGTCCCCGTTGGGGACTGGGCACATCCTGCAACGTACCCGTTGGGGCGAGAGGCTGGTAGCAGCTGAGAGGTCAGCGAGGGTGGGCTCGCAGGCATGCTGCTTGCGGAATGACTGGGGGAGAAGGTAAGTGGAAAAAAGGAGAAGGGGGAAACGTGAGGGTGGAAGGGGAGAAGGTGAGAAAATAAGGGGAAAGAGAGACGTTTGAATCCACTCAGGGTTGAGAGGCCTGCGAGGGTGGGCTTCCAAGCGTGCTGCTTGTAGAATGACTGGGTGGGGAGAGAAGGTGAGAGGCGGCAGGGAGAGAGGGAACGAAGATGGGAGAGTGGGTGGGAGCATGGAAACGAGGCTGAGTGGCCAGAACGGGTGGGCATCCGGGCGTGCTGCTTCTCGAATGACTGGGGTGAGAAGGTGAGGGGTGATGGGAGAGAGGAAGGGAGAGAGAGAGAGAGAGAGAGAGAGAGAGAGAGAGAGAGAGAGAGAGAGAGAGAGAGAGAGAGAGAGAGAGAAGGCCTTAGCATCCAGCCCTCTCCCTCTTCCCTCTGCCCTCTCCCTCTGGTCCTATTTAAGGGGCCCTCCGTGCCTTCCCTACCTCATTATTTCGTTGGTGTTTCACATTCGGCGGAGAGAGAGCGAGAGAGAGAAGGCCTTAGCATCCAGCCCTCTCCCTCTTCCCTCTGTCCTCTCCCTCTGGTCCTATTTAAGGGGCCCTCCGTGCCTTCCCTACCTCATTATTTCGTTGGTGTTTCACATTCGGCGGAGAGAGAGCGAGAGAGAGAAGGCCTTAGCATCCAGCCCTCTCCCTCTTCCCTCTGCCCTCTCCCTCTGGTCCTATTTAAGGGGCCCTCCGTGCCTTCCCTACCTCATTATTTCGTTGGTGTTTCACATTCGGCGGCTCGCGCCGGCGGCCTTCGGCCGCGCGTTAGGGGTGGCAAGACACAAGACGCGAGTTCGGCATATAAAGGGCATACAAACACACAAGGCAAGGGGGCAGGCAAGAGCAAGAGGCGCGGCATGCAATTCTACACGCGGCGGAGGCCTACATCGTGTACAGCTCCGCCCCCTCCACCTCAAGCATCGAGCGCATGCACGCCGATACTGCAAGAAGGAGATGCGCCGACGACTGGAGCGTGTCCAAGGGGGTCCCGGCCTGAGCAGCCCCTACAAGATCCCCCACGTGGCGGGGGAAAGTACGGGCTAAGGGAGCTACCCCGGCGGGCGCATCCGACACGGGTGCCAACGGCGACTCGAGCGATTCTGCCAAAGTCACGCAGGATCCTCGGGATCCTGGACCGAAACTGCTCGGAAGGCTCCGCGTGGCCCCACACACCGCAAGCTGCAAGTTCGCCACCACCTCGCACGCCTCCGCTAGATTCAGAATCCGGCACATGGTCAGCATGGGGTCTCTCCCCGCGCGAGTGGGGGGAGGTGCAGTCGGCGCTTCGCGCGGATACGCCGTCGGCCAGCCTGGAGTTCGGCCAACAGATAAGCGCGGCGCAGAGAAGCCGGGGACCTGACGGGGGGTGCGGAACTGAGCCCTCCCCTCTCGCGCGGGCCGATATTCGCTCAGCGTCGGCGCGCGCAGAGGAGCAACCTGGCCTGGGTCCGCGGCGAAGGGGGGACCGTTGGTCACCTCTATATGGACGTGAGTCGGCCCCCCACTCGCCCGGGCCTGCCGCACCACCTCCACAAACGTGTCTGCGGCGTGATCGAGGGCAGGATCCTGCTGGCGACCATTACCGCCACGACCTCCGCCATTCCGCCGGCCTCGCCGGCCGCCAGAACCTGCCGAGTGAGGACGCGGGGGGGACTGCTCGCGACGCCCCGAATCCCAGCGACGTCCAGGCGACCCCCTCCCCCTCGTCGCCGGAGATCGCCGCGGAGACCGTTGCGCGGGGGATCGCGCTCGGGGTGAGCGCTGGCCTGCCCGACCACGAGGAGACGGGTGGCGAGGAGAACGAGGACGCCCAGGGGATCGCCGATCGCCCCCACCCCGCGGATGAGCCTCGCGATGCTCAGGAGATGGGCGCCGAGGAGAGGGCTGCCGCGGAGGCTGACGCAGAGGCGAGCGCCCGCGCTCCTGCCGCGGCTGACCGTCCGGGCGGTTCGACGCAACACGCGCAGGGGCCCACGAATACTCCGGCGAGGTGGGGCGCGGGGCAGGCCGTTGGGGAAGAGTCAGCACCCGGTCGAAGCGGCGGACGGGCTCGCTTGCGGAGGGGTGCGCAGGGACACGCGGGCGAAGACCGCCAGGCGCAGGTTCCGGCAACGCGCTCTCCGCGGATCCCTCGAGCTCCGGATCCCGTCTCGCGGATGGATCCATCACCCCCGACCGCACCGCAGCCGACGCCAGCGCGCCGACAGAACGAGGACGAGGTGGACGTGGCGCCGCAGGCAGGGCGCGTGGGAGCCGCGGAAGGGAGAGGAACGCGGGGTATCCGCGTGGGACGCGGCAGCAGCCGCCGCGGACGACGAGGGAATGGGAGGGGACGAAGAGGTGGAGGAGCGCGCGGCACAAATCGGCGCCGCACCGGCGCAAGCGGTTACGCGAGAACTGCTGAAAGGCTAATACGCGAAGGCGTGGAAGGCGGCGAGGAGGAGCACAGCGAGGAGGCAGAGGACGAAGCTGAGAATGAAGAAAGCGAAGGGGGTGACCCTGTTTTTAACCCAGAAAGAGAGGGGATGTTGGAAGCAGAAGCCGAGGACGAGGAAGAATTGGAGATGCTACTTCGGGAAGCGGAGTTTCCAAACCATCAGGCCCGGGACGAACCTGCAATTCGAACCACAGGTCGAAATCGAACCGCGGGGGGAAATCGTGCAAGGGGGGGAAATCGAGCCGCGACAGAAGACGGAATTGACTCTGCAGCAGCCAATGATAATTCTGCAGGCCCCTCCCCAACCCCACCAACGCTCAAACCTGACGACCTGGCGAAAAATACTGACCTTTTCGCTCAGGTTGCAGACTGGAACCTTGACCCGCTGCGCGACAGTCGCCAACCTCCCCTCGCTCGCCACCCCCCCAAAGACCTTCGCGACTCCTTCGCGATCTGCATGTTGACTCCGTTACTCCACCTGGCGGCCAATCCTGAGTCTCCACCAGGATGGAACTTACTGACTTTTCTCCCGCGCTTACTCCTCCGCACCTCGTCAGCCCGCAAACCTGACTGGAGCGCGATGATGAATCGGCTCCATCGATTTCGCCAAGGCCTTTGGGGGGACCTGTACGAAGAAGCTGTCCAGGCGATCTCACTGCCACCGCAACCTCGCCACTCACCTGACACAACGGGGATACTGGCACGGGCAGAAGGACTCGCAAAACGGGGTAACCTGACAAAATCACTCCAATCCCTCCAGGCCACTCCTGTGTCTCCCGCCTCACCTGAAGTGTTGGAAGCCCTCACGACGAGACACCCATCCGCCTGCCAACCACTTCCTGACTGGCTCCGCACCGCCACAGCGGAAGACCCACCCACTATCGAAGCTCGCGACTTCAGACGCCTCCTCGCCAAACTCCCCAACGGAGTAGGGGCCGGCCCATCTGGAACAACCTTCGAGCACATCCGCGACGCAGCCCTGGGCAACGCCGAAGTACTCACCCACCTCCTCGCCCTCACTAACACAGCTCTAGCAGGAAAACTCCCCACAGTCGCGGGGGATCTTCTAACGGCATCCCGCCTGTTAGCATTTACGAAACCACAGGGAGGGACGCGGCCGATTGCGGTGGGGGAGTGCCTCCTCCGGATAATAGCAAAAGCCGCGCTCTTCCTCACTGCGCCGGCCGCTCGTACTCACTTTGCTCCGCTTCAGTTCGGAGTCGCAGTAGCGGGAGGGATCGAAGCGGCTATCCACTCCGCTCGCACGTACCTGGAAATGCACCCAGGGGCAGTGGCGCTGCAGATTGACCTCGCGAATGCGTTCAACGCGGTCGAAAGAAGGGCGGTGTTTGAAGGACTGAAAAACGAGGAGCTGAAGGAACTGATTCCCCTCGTCCGCCTTTCCTATGGGACTCCCTCCTCGCTCTTCCTCGACCACGACTTCGGCGCAGCCCCGCTGCAGAGCGCCAGGGGTGTTCGCCAAGGAGACCCGCTCGGCCCACTCCTGTTCGCGGCTAGCATCCACCCGTGCCTCGTGGACACGGCGGCTGCACACCCTCAGGTGGTCCTGCTGGCGTACGCCGATGATATCACGCTGCTCGGCGACGCCACGGCCTGCTCTGCGGCTTTCGACCACCTCACCTCTGCTTTAGCCGCCCTCGGCCTGGTGCACAATCCGGCTAAGTGCGCGGCGTGGTCCGCCGCAGCAATCGACGCCTCCTCAGTCCCCCCAGGCGTCACTATCTCTGAGGAAGGTTTGCAGATTCTCGGCAGCCCCGTGGGCACTGCCCGAGGCTGCGCAGATGCTGTGAGAGCGAGATTGGAAGCAGCAGCAGCGCCTCTCCCCCTGCTGGCCCAGATGGACCCCCAACTTGCCCTCCTCCTCCTCACCCGCTGTGTCAGCCGCCGAGCTTCCTTCCTGGCCAGAACCACCCCCCTAGAGGCCCTCCCTGAAGCCGAATGGTCCGCTTGGGGGGAACAACTCCTTCACACCTTCCTAGACTCGGCCCACATCATGAGGCCGAGGAGCGTCAGGGAGAGACGGAGGATTTGGCGGCAGGCGGCCCTGCCAGTGACTTTGGGAGGCCTGGGCATCACTGACCCCGCCGTTGAAGGCAGCTATGCCTACCTCGCCTCAGTGATCAGCACAGCCCACCTCTTGCACTCCCTGGAGGACTCGTTGCACCCCGCTGTCGCCGCGCTCCTCCCCCTTTTGGATCCAACCCACGGCTCCCCACACGCGCTACCTGCACGCCTCGCCGCGGCTGAGGCAGCCCTGCCCCCCGAGGCTCTCGAGGTGCTCCAGGCCGGGAAGGCTGACCCCAAGGGACTGAAGCTGCAGCAGAACCTAGCACTGGCGGTTCACTCCCGCCGCTTCCTGAGAGTCATGCGCGAGGCGAGGCGGATGCGCCCCAACCCCCGCTCTGGCCATGCGCAACGGATGCAGTCGGTGCTGGGCCCAGGCGCGGGGGATTGGCTGCTGGCGATCCCGCTCACCCCCTCGCTCCGGATGGGCCCGTCCCAGCTCTCAACTGCAGCTGCCTTCCGCCTAGGCCTCCCCCTCCCAGTGCCTAGACGCTGTGACTGCCGCTACCGCACCACCTTCCCCGACGACCGCCTCCCCAACCACCTCATGCGCTGCGAGAAGGGGAAAGGGAGGACCGCAACCCACCACGCTCTGCGGGATGAGATAGCGAACATTGGGGCGGAGGCGGGGTTTACGGTTCACAAGGAGACGTATGTCTACTCACTGGTTGAAAACCTAAAGGCGGATGTCACCATCCGTCATCCCCTGACTGGTGAGGTTTGGATGTGCGACGTGACCGTGACGGACCCGGTGTCAAGGCAGGACGAGAACTGCAACCGAGCTCCTGGATGGGCGGCCAGGGCGGCAGCAGAGAAAAAGGAGGATAAGTACGCACGGCGGAACGCGTGGGTGGGGTTCCACGCGCTTGCAGTGGAAACTTATGGCTACCCCTCGCCGGGGGTGATGGCTTACCTGCGGCAGTGCGCAGAGCTGGCGGCAAAGCTGCGGTTTAACGCGGCTCCTACCTCCTACGAAGCAGCGAAGCTGCTGACGGAGTACCGCCAGCGCTGGAGCGTGTGCCTCCAGCGGGCGCAGGCCAACGCCCTCCGCACCAAGACCAACGAGGCCTTGGCGGCAGACGAGCTCGGCTTTAGAGGACCCATCATCCCTCTCAGTGAGGGACAGCTGCACCAGTTGATTGAGGCCCCGTTCGACCAGTAGGGTCGGACAGAGGGGGGGGGGGCTGAGTAGGTAGGAGACTTGAGGTAGTTCGGATCTCGGTTTGGATGTTTGTTGTGCTTGTGTGTTCTGCATCTTCCTTTGTACCACCCCTCATGGTAATGCAAGGACCATTCGAGAGAGAGAGAGAGAGAGAGAGAGAGAGAGAGTGATGAGAGAGAGAATGGAGGTGAGCTGCTGTCAAAGTATTGAAGCAAGTTTGAGAGCTCACTGATTCAAGGTACTCAGAAGTGGCCTACCTCCATCAGAAGCGGCTGAAACGAGAGGGTGAGACAGGAAGCAGTAGCTTAGGGTATGCAAGGCGATGATAGGAAGGGAGAGAGAGCAAGAGAGCTTACAGCATAGGCGGCAGAAATCTCAGCGTGTTGGAAGTAGGCGTAGCGTGGGAAGGAGAAGCCAGGCAAGTGGATTTCACAGTGCCTCAAAACGCACCTCGTTACAATGGCACGAAATGGCACAGAATGGCACAGAATGGCACAGAATGACACATGGGCTTACAGCATATGCTGCAGAGATCTCGGCGTACTGAAAGTAGGCGTAGCGTGGGAAGGAGAAGACTGGCGAGCGGCGCCACACCTCCTGCTGGAGGGTCTGGTGAGCCGGGGGAGAGAGGAGAATGGAAGGGTTAATGGGCATCCAAAGGTGCGTGGGGGAGTGAGACGGGGTTGAAGGAACCGAAGCGGTGTGGGAAGGTGAGGGTGTGGGGGGGGGGGAGTGGCAGGTAGGTAAAGAGGTGGTGAAGAATTGCCAAGACTGCTCACCTGATAGACGAGACGGCTGGCCCATGATGAGAACGACATTGCCTGCTGCTGCTGCTCTTCATTTGAGTCGATTGCACGGCCCTTCTCCTCCAGCTCTCCTCCTTAGCCCAGGCAGAGCCCACAGCCGCCCCTTCCTCATACCATACTCGTCCTCCTGCCATGCCTTCACCCTACCCTCCTTCTCCTTCTTATCCCGCTTCTCCCCTTTATCCCCCTTATCCACCTTCTCCTCCTTCTCCTCCCCTCGTGCTCTCGAGTGGGTGGTTTTGGTGGCACTGGGTTGCTGTGTGGAAAGGTCTGAGGCTGTGGAGGCAAAGGAGGGGTTGTAGGTTGCTGCTGCTCGCAGCAGAGCCGTCACTCCTGCCTGGTGCAGAGAATGGGAGTGGGAGAGAGAAAAAATCAATTATTACCAGGTCGACTGGGGGATCAACCCGAGGCTGGAGAGGCGAGGGTGGGGTAGTTTGTAGGTTGCTGCTGCTCGAAGCAGAGCCGGCACTTCTGCCTGGTGTGCAGATAATGGTGGGAGGAACGGGAGTGAGGAACGAAGGAGGGAAAGGACTCTTGAGTTGACTACAAAAGCGGCTCAGGAGAGGTCTGAGGCTGGAGAGGCCTCCAACACCACAACCCCCAACGCCAGAACCCCCAACGCCACAACTCCCAAAACCCGCGTGTACGCACATGGTAGAGGTCGGAGAGGGACACCCCGTGGCCGAAGAAGCAGTCTGCCTGATCCACCCTACCTTCTCATCTTCCCCGATCCACCCTACCTTCTCATCTTCCCCGATCCACCCTACCTTCTCATCTTCCCCAACACCACAGCCCCCAACACGTTACACAATACCCCCGCCACCCCACCCCACCCCATCGCGCACGTGGTAGAGGTCGGAGAGGGACACCCCGTGGCCGAAGAAGCGGCGAGCAATGGAACACACTCGCCCTGAATGAGACGGCACTAGGCGAATCAAACTCTCTCCATTGCTCCAACCCATCTCACCCCTCCCCAGTCCCCGCTCCATCCCCCCTTCATCCCCTCACGCACGTGGTAGAGGTCGGAGAGGGACACCCCGTGGCCGAAGAAGCGGCGAGCAATGGAGCGAACCAGGCCTGAGTGAGCCGCCACAAGCCGCTGCTGGGCCAAGGGCGCTTGGGCCGCACTGGGTAGGGGGTGGGGGGGGAAACGAGGGGGGGTTGAGGGTGAGGAGGAGGAGGATGGGTGGTCGGCGTGTTGAGGACGAGGAACCAGGCCTGAGTGAGCCGCCACAAGCCGCTGCTGGGCCAAGGGCGCTTGGGCCGCACTGGGTAGGGGGTGGGGGGGGAAACGAGGGGGGGTTGAGGGTGAGGAGGAGGAGGATGGGTGGTCGGCGTGTTGAGGACGAGGAACCAGGCCTGAGTGAGCCGCCACGAGCCGCTGCTGGGCCAAGGGCGCCTGGGCCGGACTGGGGGGTTGCGTGTACACAGGTGAAATGGCAGCGGAGGGACGATGAGGGGAAACGGAGGGCAGAGGCAAGGGAAGACGGGGAAATAAAGGGGAGCTGTTTTAAGAGTGTTTTACACTCAAAACTACTCTTTTTACACGTAGCCAGCAGACGCTGCTGGGCCAAGGGTACTTCGGTCGAGAAACGGGTTTGGGCTAAGGCAGAAGGAGCGAAAGGGGTTTTGAGCTATGGGGTATGCAGCACGGGGTGTAGAGAGCTAAGGGGGCTATAAACCGGGGTTGGTGGTTACAGGTGCACGAGGTCCCGGGAATGGTTGTTGTCATTAGCTGTTGCTTGATCTGAGTGATCCGAAGGCACACCATGCATGTCTGCATTGATTGCTGCCTGTAACCCTGGCTGATCAAGTGGTGATGCCTGCCCGCTGTTGCTGTTCTGGCGGCCAACGCTCTTGCTGCTATCGGTGCTATTGCTGCTGCTCCTGCTGCTGCTCGAACTGCCGCCGGTGCCGCTGCTGCTGGTGACCACTCGGCGCTGGTGAGCGTTAAGCTGCACTACTGCCTGAAGAAGCGAGCATGCAGGTGGAAAGGGAGGAGCCACAAGAGAGGGCGAAGAGGAAGCAGAATTGAGGAAAAACAGTTGACGAGAGGAGGATGTGGGAATAGGTATGGGAATAAGGAGATGGGATGGGAATGGTAGACAAGATACACATACCGATGGTATCGTGGTGCAACAGGGGAATCAGTTGGGAAAGAGAAAATGAGCAAGGACAAAGAACTGAGAAAGGAAGAAATTGACTTCTGAGGCGCCTCAAAATCCTCTCCACATAAAATCCACGAGAACTGAGACGACTTTTGAGGCGCCTCAAAAGTCGTCTCAGTTGTGAAAGAGAAAAAGAGCAAGGACAAAGAACTGAGGAAGGTAGAAAATGCGCTCCCTCTTGGCTCAACCGACCACCGAACCCTGCAGATGCTCCCTCCCATGCCACACCACTTCCTGCCATAACTGCACGCACACCATCCATCCCCCCCACACGCCCCTCACTCACACTCCCTCTCTCTCACACACTCACTCACCTTCATCACACGACTGTATGCCTCCGCTTCCTCCTGGCTCAACCGACCACCGAACCCTGCAGATTCTCTCTCCCATGCCGCACCAGTTTCCCCCATAGCTGCACGCGCACGCTCCATCCCCACACGCCCCTCACTCGTTCTCCTCTGCTTCTTGCTGCCCCCTCGCTTACTTCTCCCCTTTTTCTCTGCTCCCCACTCCTCACTCCCACCCTCCTGCTCCTCCCCACCCCCTGCATCCTTTCCTGCTTCACTCTTTGCCTCCCCCCACGCTTCCCTCCTTGCCTCCCGCCCTGCTTCCCTCCACGCCTCCCTCCATGCCTCCCTCTCGTCATCCCTACCAGCCCCTCCTACTCTCCATTCCTCCATATCCATCTCTCTTTCCGTTTCCCCGTTACTCCATCTCTGAGTGGAAGCACCACCCCTCCTCTGCCTTCCACCTTCAGCCACTGCATGCCGCTCACTTTCTGTGGCATGCCGCCCAGTTTCTGTGGCATGCCGCCCACTTGCTGATGCATACCGCCCACTTTCTGTGGCATGCCGCCCGCTTGCTGCTGCCTCCCGCACACCAGCTTCAAGGCTCGTACTTCTTCTCCTCATCCTCATCCGACCCATGCTCAAACCACCAGCACCAGCACCAGCAGCAGCAGCAGCAGTAGCAGCATCACGAGCAGGAGCACGAGTAAACGGTGTACCAGAGTCACCAGCAGAGCTGCTGCTGCTGCTTCTCCTGCTTCCAGCTCTAGCATCACCCTTTGCAGAGCTGGAAGCAGGAGCAGCAGGAAACAGCCAGGAGTCATCGTGGGCCGTCCAGGGCAGAACCGAGCGGCCAAGCTCGGCAGCTAGCGGGGAAGGGGTTACCTGGCGGCAGATCTCCGCCACGATATGGGCGGCGCCTGCCGTCCACATCTCCCTGGCTACAGCTGACGCTACAGCCGACCTCTGCCCTTCCGGTATCTTTTCCACTTCCAGAAACGGCACTTGCAGAAACAAAGCACCCTTAGGCGCGGATAACTGTTCTGCTCCTCTTGGTGCTGATTCTGTTCCTGCTGGTTCTGCTGAGTGTGCTGGTGCTGATGGGTCTGCTTGTGATAGGCCTGTTGGTGCTGGGTTTGCTGCTTCTGCCATTGATTTTCCAGTGGATGTACCCGATTTCTCTGAATACACAACATCAGCATAGTCACTGCCACCAACGCCATCACGAGTAGCATACACATCTGAAGCGCCATGGTCATAAAGAGGGCTATGGGCATCAGTGGCACCATAGACATCAGGGGCACTATGGGCATCAGGAGGGCCATGGGAGCCATACAGGAGCGCATACCCCTCCTCTAGCCACTTCTGCAGCGCAGCAGCCCTCGCTCTCGCACCTCTTTCATCTGCCTCCTCCTCTCCCCTCCTCCCTCCTTCCCCTGACCTACCGGCTCGCACCCACGATTCCTCCTGTCTGTCCGCCTGGGTTACCTCTCCCCTCCCTCTTTCCCTCCCCCTCTCACTCTCCCCCACCCTGACCCTGCCGGGCCTGCCCCTGCCCCTGCCTCTTCCCCTTGCCTTGTTGCTGCTCCCGCTATAGTCACGTTCACCACCATCGGATCCCTTGTATGGGGTGTGACGGGTCCGAAGTGACTGTAACGGGAGGTTCTGCAGGACCTGGTCGTCCATCAGCAGAGAGGGCTTCTCACCGTGACTATTGCGAACGACCGTTTCGAGGGCCCTGGTCCTCTGTGGCGATGACGTGTCCGTCCGCCTATGCGACCTCGGCGACTCACGCACATGTAGGATGCTAGTAACGGGACCAGATTCGTCTTGTAACGAATCACTGGGGCTGGCAACAGCACGGATGCTCCGCCTGATGCCTGAGAATAAGGAGATTGTTCCACTATGTGGGGTGCTTATAAAGGAGGCTTTCCCAGTGGAAATTCCCCTGCTCTCACTGCCACTGCAGCTGCTGCTACTGCCGCTGCTGCTGCTACAGCTGCCGCTGCTAACGCTGCTGCTGCTGCTCTTACTGCGGCTGCTTCTATTGCTGCTGCCACCACTTCGCCTGCTACCTCTGCCCTTGTTCCCGCCGTTGCAGTTGCTCCCGCTCACACTGTCACTGCACCCACCATCCCGCCTCAAGCTATGGGGATTGCGCCATGCTCCTGTGTGACGAGACGATTCTTTAGGCGCCTCAAAAACGTTTCCAGTGTTTCCCTCTTGCGTCAATCCATCCATAATCCGCCCGGAACCTTGCCCCTCTGGCCCCATAGCACCCTCGAGATTGCAATCTTGCATCAGTCCATCCGAATTCGGGCTCAGTCTATCCAGATTTCTACTGGACT